GAACATTACTTTTTTTTAAATGCAGAGCGGGAGCCCAAACTCAGAATCCAGTATGTACTATTCATTTCAATAGTTGTTCCTAATGATGAGTGTCTGAGAGCACTACCCATGGAGCTGCTTTGTAAGTTTGGGGAGGGCCGTGAGTTTTTACTAACTCCCGGGCAATTTTGATGGTTTTTCTGAGGTAAGGAGGAGGACCATGTTTCTGTCCAGATGTTTAGTTACCAGTCTATTTTATTCTCTTGATCCATTTTTATGACTCCATGCCAACCTCACATGTCTACCCCACCAGGGAAAGGCTTCCCATATTCTCAGGGAGTTTTTGCTGTTATATTCACATTTTAGAATGGGCTTTTCACATTGAGATCTTGATCTTTATAGGGTGCAGATGACAACATTCTTTTATCAGCAGAAATTATTTACTTCTGAGATCTTAGTTTTACCATCAGCTTAATGCCATCCTCACCACAGTTAAACATACAGTGTGTTTGTTCTGTCTCTGGGCTCTATTCTTTATCGATCTGCCAGCCTTCCTTCTGCCCAAACTGCCTTGAATTCTATAGCTCTAGAGTAATTAATTGTTGATGAACTTTGCTATCTTCTAGAAAAAAAATCCTCTTTCACCCCAATGTATTTGTGGCTGTGTGCTGGCCCCTAGCTTAAACAATTATGCGTAACTGAGTCTGTGTCCCAGGATAGGTTCTCAAGGAAGCATTAAAAATAGAGGCCAGAGGTGGCTCCAGATAAGAGCAGATGCTGTGCAAGCAGGACCACCCAGAGTTCAAATCCACATCACATACAAAAAGCTGGATGCACAGGGTGTGTGCTATAACCCCAGCATTGGGGGGCAGAGATGAGTAGATATTAAAAGCTTGCTCTCTAGCCCAGAGAGTGAGCCTCTGATCCAATGAGAGACCTTGGTGGAATAGGCTAGAGAGTGAGAGAGGTAGATGCTGAACCTTCTCCCCCGAGGGTGTGAACTGGCGTAGGCAGGTGTTTACACACCACGTGGAGGCTAGAGAGGTGGCTCTGGGTGGCTCAGGTTAAAAGTGCTTGCTCAGAAGTCATTAGGACCAGAGTTCAGCTTCCAGCTCACACCTAGCAAGCCAGGTAACACGGCAGACGCAAGCCAGAAGAGTCAGTGGGCCTGTGGACTACCAGCCTAACAGAGAAAACAGAGCCCAGGCTCAAGGATGAAACTGCCTTAAAGACAGGCCGAGTAGTTAAGAACTTGACAGTCTTCTGGATGCCCACACAAGTGCACACACCCACATACGTGTACATACACATAGAAGGATACATATGCATGCACACATAAAAATGATATTAGCCAAGACTTTTAGTCACACTGTCATTTTAAATTTTGTTCAGATTTAGCACACCTCTTTATTCAAAGGTATTTATTTCCACAAAGTTTATCCACAGCTGAGTAATTACAGCAACCATTGCAGGCATTGTTTTTTAGATAACAAAGCTGTAGCTTACACACTTGTCCAAAATGAAAATAGAGTATTTCTTCTGTAGTGTTCGATTTACCCCTGAATACTCTGTGACCTTCCTCAGAGGCAGGCCTTTATTTAAATACCAGTTGATTGCAGATTTTATATCCAAATTCTGGTTCTTTAACCATATGACTTCAGACAGTCGCCTAACTTCACTGGTTGAGTGCCTTTGTTAGAATGTATTTGTTACAGTGTGTGTAAGTGCAGACATATGTGCCACGGACACGTGAAGTCAAAAGAGCTTTCATGGTGGTCCCTGGGGATTGAACTCAGGTTGGCAAGCACTTTTACCTACTGAACCATCTTGCCTGCCCCAAATCTTACTTTAGAAAAACAAATTTTAGTTTCTAATGATGTTCGTAAGAAAAAAACAAACTTGTTTGTCATTGGCAATAACTTCTAATTTCCTACACTCTGTTGTTATTACAAACAAAATTGAAAATCCCAACCATTCTATTTTACCAATAAAGACTCAGGAGCCAGATCCCGGGGTGAAAACCTGCTAGCTCAGGCAGGCAGCGAAAGGCAGCTGACCTTCCTTCTCAGCTCAGGTGCAGATGAAAAAAAACTAAAAGGCTCACTAGATCAACTGACAGCTCAGGAGGAAAAAGGCCAAAAAACCCAAGGCCAACGGCTTTTGCTAGTTCAAAGCCCCAAAACTCAGGGAGCTGAGTAGCTGAAGCCAAAGCCAGAGCTTAAGCTGAAAGCTCTTCTCCATGCTGACTTAAATACCCCTCAACTCAAAGTCCCTCCACCTCTTGACCTAGGGTTAACTTTATTAAATCCTGTGTACAGAAAGCTCTTGGATTAAAGGTGTGTGATAGGGTTCAACCACACCAAACAAGAAACAGGGTTTTAGAGTTCACAATTTTGGGATTCATAATGGGATCAAATAAATATCCTGCAATACTCTAATTCTGTAATTACGGCAACAATGCTTAAAAAAGGAAATTTTGGTTATTTGACTCAGGGAGCAAGCTAACTTTAAAATGCTACCACATTTAGCAGCCACTTACTCAAAGTGGTCAAGTGTCTGAGAAGCATTTAGTTTATGGGAAGAACTGGATTCTAGTTTGTTGCCACAATCCTCAATGAATTCATTAGAGGCCCAATGGTTCAATCAGTGGTAATTTTAGGGACACACACCCTCTAACCTCCTATTCTTTTTTTGCTTTGTTTTTGTAAAAGTCTTTAACATTTTCCTGAAGAAAAATCAGGGGAAGCAACTCCTGTGACGTGTTCCACGGAAATGGGGGAGAGCCGGCCATCGGGGCTGACCTGCCAATAGGTACCACCCCTGGAGCAGCAGCTGGGGCGGCCTGGTGAGAATGTCTGATTCACTAACAACTCATTTATTTGGAAGCACGCCCATTGCTATAGGGAGGTGGCCAGCGCCCATGTGATAATCCTTAAAACACAAATGTTAGATTTATGACTGTTAACTAGTCTTTAAGGTGTTTGTTTCACGAGATGAATCAGAAGCCCACAGGACGCCACGCTGGACATCAAGTTCTCCCCACTGCCTCTTCTTTGGGGGTGAAATGGGTAAGTCGGTTATTTCAGCAACTGCTAAAGGCACATGATGGAACTGTAACTACCCAGAAGCAGAGATACTTAGTAAAGAGTTCAAACTTGTGTTTCTTTTATTTGAAAGATCGTATTGCAGGCTGGAGAGATGGCTCAGCTGTTAAAGCTAGGCTCACAGCCATAAAAAAAGATCATATTGATTTCATGAAGCTGGGAAGTGTTTAAAATTAGCTTTAAAGGGAGAAGAGGCTGAGAGGGGCTCAAGGGGAGAGTAGTGTTCTCTTATTATGCCTGAGGACCTGGGTTCAATGCCAGCATTGGGTTGGGGCAAGGTACACTTTTAGCCTCCGAGTATGAAGTGAAGCAAGGAAGATGGACACTCCACAGCCACTGTTTTTGTGGTATTGAGTACAGCTCTGGTGGGTACTCTTGTCTTGTGGTAGAGTCTGAAGCTATTTCTTCTTAGTTACCCCTCCCTTAATTTGTCTAATTACTAAGCTTTTATTTAGTGACCAAGAGGTAACATGAATTGTACTCCAAGGTTGGGCGGATGATGGTTTCAGACTATGTGTAAGGACGGTCTGCTGTCCTTAACAATGGCTTCTTAAAAATGCTTAGGAAGACATTTTTCTTGAGGGTTCTCGAGGGTTAATGATAGTTTTTAAATGACTCAATTTTGAACACTAAAGTGCACTAAAAGGCAAATTATATTCATATACAACTTTAGAGAGGTAGCCACAATCCAGTTGTTTTTAACTGGCTTTCCAAGTAGTTTGCATTTGGGGGTTGAAAGGTTCCATGCAGATGTTGGGGGCTGAAACTGAGACTGGTGGGAGGGGCCGTTCTTGGAGACAGACAACCCAAGAACATCACTGGACACAAGGGATGATGAAGATAACGGTGCATTTGTTGTCAGATTTAGTTTCAAGTCAGGTGCCGTTTCTTGTTCTGGCCCCGGCATGCAAGCAGGACAGGAGACATTGACCCGTAATAGCACAGGATTTCAGGGCTTGGTGTGTGCTGTTTTAAACCGAGTGACATTTGGGGAAGTCTTCTAAAGTATGGAGAAATCTCAGTGTAATAATGAGGCTCCAGTACAATGTAACTGTAACTATAACTGTCATGGAACATCATACTTCTAATAAATGTGAATTATGAAAATGGGTAGGAAGACTACATAGGGCCGCTAACCAAACCTTTGTCCTTGAGCCAGGCAAAGTCCCCAAAAGCAAAACAAAGCAAAATTCTAAGAGCAGCAAACACATAACCCTGCTACATTATTACTGAACATTCTTTCAGACATTTACTTCATAGCAGAGTATTTATACTGATTTTAAAGTTTGAAAAAATGTTGCAGATAACTTGAGAAGGGGGAGTTGGCCTGAGGTATTGCAGTCTCTCAAAGCAGCTTTAAAAAAACTATACATCTTTGGATAACAACCTAATGATCATGCGTTCTTCTTCAGGCTCTTTAGAAAGCTGGGCTCTCGAACTGGAGTTTGTTTCCCTTATGATCTCAGGACCAGGGATCAGAGGCCCTTTCTGAAGGTTCAGCGACATTAAGGAACTGAAGTTTCACTGGCAAAAGTGAGCCACCCTTGCCTACGACTTTTCATACTTCTGTTGTGGTGGAAGCTTTGCTGGTCTCGGGCGTTGACTAGCCCTGGAGACTGCATGTATGTTTAGTGTAATTCTCCCATATACCTGAGACTGTCGCAGGAGCACGAGCATTATCAGGTCATCCAGTTTGTTTAGAAACTACATTCAGCATGTTTGGCCTGGAAGTCAATCATACCAGTGTCCCTTACTCACCGGCCAACAGTGAATGCTTTGGGGAGGATTCTCTGGAGGCACAGGCCTTAGTTTTGTTCTTAAAACATCTCACCACAAGCTCACCCACACCTTTGGTTTATCAGTATATGTCATTTTTATGGTTATTAGTATCATTTGTTGAAAGACCCACAAAGGCAATTTATATCATGTATTTTTAATATTGTCTTAGTTTGGACATTCTCCAGTTATATACAAAGACCAAAGCTAGGCACTTCCACTCTGTAGAACTGGCATTTTTATATGGCGTCTGGAGCTACGAAGTGGCTATTCAGTAGGACGTGTCTTTGTTTAACCTGAAACCAAAGCTTTAACAATCTTCTACATTTCAAGTGTTTTCTGAGCAGCATGTACAAAAACTAATGACAAATGTGCATTGCTTGGTTTAGTTTGGTTCTCTCCACAGGCTCTCTAACTGTGGTCTGATCTACAGTGGGCACCTTCAACAGATCTAGAATTCTCTCGGCTGACAGCATGTGCTTCCCTCTTGCTTGCTTGGAAACATGCATCCTCAGACTTGGTTGAGAAACTCCAGGTTGAGACATGCCGGGATATGAATTGAGTCCATGGTCAGAGAAGATGGATTGAATGGAAACAGGACAGGAAACATGTGTTTGGAGTCTAGCAGGAGCTGCTGGGGATCATTCCTCTCCTGCAGCTGGGCCTGTAGAGGGAGAGCAAGCTCATGTCAGTATTTGGTACAACCCCGAGGCAGCAGTCTCAGTGACTTCACGGAAGTGAGGAGGCACACAGCGGGGAAAGATTTCTAAGTTGATGTGGGAGGAGTGCAGGGTCAGGTGAACATGGGCTTCCTATGTCCCTGAGGGATGGAGTGGAGACAAGCCCTGATTCAGGTTGTTGGAGGTCAGCTGATCAAGCACTTTCCCCATTTTGGCATCGCTTTAATGCTTCCATCTAAGGGAGAAGCTGAAACTATGTCTTAGGTGCAAATTCCATGGAAGACTGTCATGGCATGGTTAATGGAGCAGGTTCTAAAGCAGTGGTTCTCAACCTTCCCAATACTGTGACCTTTATACAGTTCCTCATGTTGTGGTGACCCCAACCATAAAAATATTTTTGCTGCTACTTCATAACTGTAATCTTGCTACTGTTATGAAATGTAATGTAAATATCCCTGTTTTCCGATGGTCTCGGGTGATTCCTGTGAAACCATTCCCAAAGGGGTTGTAACCCACAGGTTGAGAACCACTGTTCCGCTGTTCTAGAGGCTGATAGAGGCTGACTCCCCTCCCTGAACAAATGCCCAGACCTTCCTGCGTCTTACTTTTGGCATCTTCAGAATGGAATATTGTGGAAAGTGCGTAGGCAGCCAGTCTAGGGATCAGCCCCTCCCCTGAAGCAGGTACCGAATTTGAAAGAGTGATGTTAACTATTTCAGAACTCCTGCTTAGAGATTCATTCTTTGATGAGAAGGGAGAGAGGCTGGTCTTTGTGAGCATGTCTTTGTGAGCCTGCTTCTATGCCCATTCCTCAGCTTCCGGTATAGCTGTGCTGAGAGAAGCCCACAATCCTGGAATAGCTGGGTAGTGCCAGGGAAAGCAGCAGGGGTCTGACTTCTAAAAACCTGAGATTGTGCCCTTTGGTTCATCTGGTGGATCCAGCATGGATACTTGTCTCAGGGTCCAGAGCTTTGTCTCAGTGGCATCAATTAGAATGTCTAAAAGGACAAATCCTCTTCCCCTCTGCTTGAAGTCAGATGTTTTAAGAAAAAAACAATAACCGAAATGAAATTCACCGAAGGAGTTCCACAACAGGCTTAGGCAGGTGGACAGGAGACTCAGTGTGCTAGAAGATAATAGAGTTGAAGTGATCAAGTCTAAGTGCAAGTGTGGTGCTACACATCCTGTAATCCCAGCACTTAGGAAGTGGAGGCAAGAGAATCAGGGTTCAAAGTCATTCTCAGCTACTTAGCAAGTTTGAGGTCAATCTGGACTATGCAAGACCCTGACTGAAAAGAGACAGACAACAAACAGAGCGTGAGGGTCCAGGAAGCAAAGTATCTATATGCATACTATAGATGTTCCAAAAAGAAATGAAGGAAAGAGACAGAAAAATATTTAAATAAAACTAAACCATTCCAAATCCAATTGTCCATAGGTATGAGCACATCCAAGCTCACTGAACTTTAAGCAGGATAAACTCACACACTGAGACTGTCAAAACTCCAAGATGGGGACTCTCAAAAAGAGCAACAGAGAAATGCATTTGTCACAGAGTATCCTGAAATGAGGGTAACAGGTGATTTTTCATCAGATGCAATGGACATTAGGAAGCAATAGGATGGCACACCACAAAGGAAAAAAAATCTGGCAAAATTTCCTTCAAGGACAAAGGAAATTTTGTCATTTCTGGAGACAAAGACATTTTGATAAAAGTTTGAATTCATCGTAAACAATTACAGGTAGAAGCACAATTAGAAACAGAACCTATAGAATAATTCATGTCCAAACTGACGGAACTGCAGGGAGGGCTAGTTCTCCACTTACAGCAGGTTACAGCAGGACCCTTCAATCTCCCATTTTTATGACATAGCACCGTAAGGTGGCATCCGTAAACAGACACAATGGACTCTTTAGGATGGAAGTTAGACTACTTGGGGCATGCCCCTGAAGAGATCCAGGGATCCTAGACCTTGCTGTCTCTTGCTTCTAGGCTGGTACAAACACGTGCCCTCTGCCTGACACACTGTCATTACACACGGAGCTGCAGAGCCAAGGCCGAGTTATGGACTAAAATATCCGAACATGAACCTTTTTCTTGCAAGCTTCATTATCTTAAGTTCTGTGCCACAGTGGCAGAAAGCTAAAGTATATACATACAGATTTCCCCCTGGGGGAAAAGAGGGGAGAGAGAGAGAGAGAGAGAGAGAGCTCCTTTTAAAAGGCTGTGTGGATCAAGAGTCGATAATTTGTTCGATAGTTCAGTCGCTGGCATCTGGCGAATGCTGTATTTGTCTTTGGTATTAACTTTGGAATGCCCTGCTTTGTTCTTCCTACCTGGGAATTAACTATTAACTGTTGAACCATGGACTGCATGCGGGAGCTGTTCTTTTAACTAAGGTCCCTGAACAGCAGTGTAGCCTGGGGGAAGATCCATAAATCCTCATCAGGAAAATACAGGTTATGCCATACCAGCTTGAGGTACAAAAACAGGTTGTTTTTGTTTTGTTTTTTCCTTTTTGGGACAATATTGTTTCAAGTAGTGACAATACCTTAATACAGTATAACATTCTAGAGTTTCATTGTTACCCGACTTTAGGGAAGACGAGGACTATTGTTTGCTCAATACCCACAGCAGCTGGCTTTACCTCTCTAGCACTCAGGGCATCTGGCTCTCTCTCTTAAGCCTTGAAACAGGCTGGGACCTGAAAGCACCAGCAGCCCTTCTCTGTGCTATAGAAGGTGAGCTGCTTGAGTGCAGGGCTGGGAAACAATGGTTTCCCAAGGACCGTGGAACCTCAAATTGCTCACAGTTTGTTCAGTTCTCTAGGAGATGACAAGGCTTTAATATTGAAATGCTTTCATGGCTATGTGAAAATCACACGCGTCTATGCGTTACTATGTAATGCTTCAGTAATTCAGCTCTTTAATCACACGTACCGTGTCCAGCACGCAGGCAGTGGTAGGCCTAATAAGCAGCTTTGGCTGCTGGATATGAGCTCAAGGGTGGTGGGGGTGGAGTGGAGGCGGGGCAAGGGGCTGACTGCTCAACAGTACCTCAGAGCACTGCACGGGAAGAAATAGCTACAGCTGCCAAAAACCAGCTTTTGGCCGTACTTCCTGACAGTACTAACCCTTACTCAGCAGGATGTTCCTCTATGTCCTTCATCCCTCAGGTCTACAGTTCGCTTGACATACATGCCAGTCTCCTTAGGACTGAACTCCCTGTTTTTGCACACAGTGCTATTGCCAGTTTATGGTGACTTCGGGTTCTCCCTCCCACATGGCTCAGGTTCAAATCCAAGAATGACCCCCTAAATCTATACTTTTGCTTGAGATGCTTTTCCAGAAAAATCAGCATGAGTCCGGTATTTCCTGGCCTTTCTTCTGCCTCCCAGTTCCTTTTCTGCATTTAGGAGCTGGCTCTACGCTCATCCCAACCTATGCTCCCACTCAGCCTCCCCCACACACTTGGATGAATCCATGGTGTGGGTGAGTTGGTCTGCTCTGAGGGCTGCATGTTTAGCAGGCCCTGGCATTCCCCATTGCCCTTGAAACAACAGCCACCTTTACTGTGATTTGGCATCTGTTCCTTGACCTCTGGCTTCATATCCACTCAAATACCAGGCTGAAGTTCATTTATCCTTTTCCATGGGTCTTTTCAGAGCCAAGGTACTCTGTCTCAATCTCTAGACTTCTTTTAAGTCTCGGAATAAAACCCCCAGCCTTGCAAGGAGAACAGCATTCTACACCAAATCTCTTGTTTTCTTGGGGCTCTTTAATAGCTCTGATAAATCTGTATTTCTCTAGTCTCCTCTTCTGGTCACGTTCCTCCATTTCCTATCCTTGTTCATGCTGGCCAATACAATGTGTCTGTATTCCCCACATGTAACTGTGGGAGAAATGAGTCCTGCTTTGCGGAGTCACAGTCTGTGATGAGCTCCTGTCAGTCACTGTCCCACAAGAAGGCCCTCCACTGGACCCAGACCTCCCTGGGCTCAGCTTGAGGAAGCTCGTGTTTAGTTAAAAATTCACATCACACGATGTGATCCAAATACATGTGGATCTAAATACATGTCTGCTTGATAGGTTTCTTCTGACAGCACTCTAAGAGAACGTTACTTAGTTCCACATGCGTGGAGTTGATATCAAGCTCTTTTGCTAATTCCACCTGGTGCCTTGATTGGGCAAGGTGTTCCTGGGAAATGAAGCTCTTGAATCTAAAAGTGGAGACCAAAAGATCAGTCTCTCTGTCTGCCTGTGTGTGGTTAGTGCTACTCGTGGATGAAAAGGTTCCCATACGTTTAAGCAGGAGGCCCGTGAATGCCAGGTTTTCTAGCACAGTGTAACCAGCATTAGTAAAGGGTTAAAAACCTGCATCTTCAATGCATCTTTTTGGCTTTTGCCTAGGACTTCATAAAATTAATACTTGAAGACTCACCTGGATTGTCCGTATAAAGGACACTGTCACCCGTTCTTCAAACTCATTCAAGGGAGTGTAAAGGTTTAAAATTTTGACAATCTGTTGGAACGAAAATGAAGTTTAGTACAGAACTAGACAAACTGAAGACAACTTTGAATTTTAACTCTATGACAGCGGTATCTCTTCTAACCCTCTGGTCAGACCCCACAGGCCGTGTGGTCAGGCTGCCATTTATGAGTTTCCACCCATGGCTGCCCCTGCGAGGCTTGAGCCCTCATGGTCCCGATACCCACTATTCACCTACACTTGGTGGCGTGTAGGTGAGTGCAGAAAACTGCTGCCTGGATCCCCCAGACTCTCTTCTGAGGCAACGTCAGGTTCTTCAGGAGAGGGCCAGGGGTCTTAGATGAGAGAGCTAACTGCGCTTAACCACCCTTGCATCGCTTCCTTAAGAAAATTCATTTACACGTGAGATTTCCTTCTTAACCAGACACGGTCTTCATCAGCCTATCAGCTGCTTAGGAGGGAACGCCCCTGCCGCATGCATGGCCAGCTGCAGGTGGTAACTAAACTCATGGAAGTAAACATTTCCTGGGGCTGGGTAGTTTGGAAACTGGGAGAATGTGCAGTTCTTAGGAGTTTGAAGGTTCACTTCCGAAGACAGTGGAGGAGGGAGAGAGGCATGTGCCCTTCGGCTTGCTGAGTTTGGATTGGCTGCAGAGGTATTGGGTGGGAGGAGTATGTGTTTGGTTAGAGTTTGATTTCAATCTCTGGTGGCCGTGGCCCATTTCTAAGAAGCCATGATTGAAGGCAAGATCTGGCACTTACCTCTTTATAGACCAGTCTACAACCAAATTGTAACATAAATACGATTCTGGGGGAGAGGAATTTGAAATAATATTTAAATACCTCAGATTGCTAAGGCTTCATTTAAAGAGATATAAATGGAGTCTGAAAATATGACCGTATGAACATTACAGATTAAATACATAAAGAAAGCAAACAGCTTCATGTTGACAGATTCAGAAAAAGAAATCTCTAGGAAAGAAATTATCTGGAATTGTTTTTAAACAGTTGTGACATGAGGCCGGCAAGATGGCGAAGTGGGTGAGGGCTCTCGCCACCAAGCCTGATTATCTGAGTACCAGAGCCCACATGGCAAAAGAGAGAACCGACTCCTCCCAGTCCACCTCTGTCCTGCAAACACCCATATCATAGCACATGTGAGCATGCACATGTCAATTTTCAAAGTTGTTATCAAGGTTTGTGGTTTTACCACCTTATCTTGTAAGCTTGCACACAAGATCAGAAAGTTACAGGGAAATGGCATAGGGCTTTATAGACCAAAGTGATTTCTGGCTCACTGAGACCATTTTATCAGTGGCAAATCTGAATTGTGTCAACGAGGAAACCCCTGGCAAGAGCAGACTGGAGGGCCAGCATGGTCTTGAATGGCTGTACCTGCTGGGTGCTGAGGGAGGTGCACAGAGAGCAGATGGCCTCGGCATCCTCATGGCTCTTCTTCTTCAGCTGGAGAAGCTGGGCTGCCTGGATCAAAGGTTCCATGGTCTGAACTGCTCCGCTCTGGTGAAGGTTTTTTCCCCGAAGCCACTCTTCAAGCTGACTTATGTTGTACCTTAGCCACAATCAAAAAGGAAGCCGCATTAAGCCTTCGTTCATGGGGGGAAGGGGTTGGCTGCTATATTTTTCAGGTGAGGTGTAACTAGTGCAATCCTTGACCTCGCTTAAATTATTTGGGGTGGTTAAAAGCTTGCAAAATGGGGGTAGGGAGACAGCTCAGTTTCTAAAATGTTTGCCTTGAAGGTAAGAAAGAAGACCTGAGTTTGCTCCCGAGACCCATATTTAAACACACTCCCCAAACCACAAAAACAAACATGGGTGAGGTGGCGCCCCATGTAACCCCAGGGCCGGAAGGTGGAGACAGCCGGCCGAGGCGACTATGGTAAGGTCTAGGCCAGCGAGACCTTGTTTCCTAAAATCGTGGCTATCTGAGCTGTCGTCTAGCCTCTAACATGCTCTCACACACATAGGCACCACTCCTACACACACACAAATGTTAAAAAAAAAACCTCTGCAAAGTGCCCAGCATTCAGTAACCATGTGCTGTGAGAATGAATGCTTAAAATTAGGCAAAGCTCGAACACCGACTGCGTCTACATAGATTAACAGGGAGGAGAGCGTTAAATATGCTGAATTAAAATTCATATTTAACACTTGCAAACGTTGATTATACTTCTGTGACAGCCCTGATAACTCCTAATTCATCCATCTTTCTTGCTGACCTGGCCACATTGCATTAGTCTTTACACTAAAAAGTATTTGAGCATGTCCAGGCTGGTTTGAATATCTTTGTGCTAGTTTCTTTGTGTGGTCACAATCAATCAATAAAAAGCTGATGGATGTGGGTCACATACCAACCAGGACAAGGGCCCTCAGTGGGTTTGGCCTTGGAGACAGCTGTCTGCTCTGAGCCCAGCCTGTGTTAGGCCCTTGGTCTCCGTGTGCAGGCGAGAGTGCCTCGCTCACCTGAGCTGCATGCCTGTGCTCCAAGAGCAGGCATCTTTCCTCAGGAGCAGGTTGTTGAGAGTCACAGCGTTGATCATGTAGAAGAGCTGTTTGAACACCTGCAGGATAATCTCGGGGTCCAAGCCCTGGTCGCACATGACAGTATGGAAAGAGTTCATCTGGCGGATGATGGCCTCCAGGCAGTATGAGTTCTCTCCGTCCACCATGCTGGAGGAGCGCTTCCGGTAGCCAGTTGGCCTCACGCCAGACAGCCCCTGGATACTCTCATTTTCCAACATGGCAGACACTGAAAGGAAGGCGTGGGTAGAAGCTTGTGTGTTTCCCTTAGAACTCTGCAGCAGCACCCCTCAGCCCAATAAGTCATTCAGATATCCACGGTATCAACGTATGCAGGGACTTAATACATTTGGCAAAGGATTTTCGAATCGTGTGGGATCTCCACTGTGCATAAAACAATTGTTACCTAAATTCATTGGGCACTGGACAAAAATAATGGGTATGTACTAGCTGGATTCTGTCCTACCTCTGTCAAGAGTCCAAAGTTTAAGAACTGAGCCAGTCCTGGTGGGGTTTTGACCTAGGCACTGGCTGTTTGACTACTGTTAGGCATTTCTTCAACATCCTCATTAAATGGATTTAACTGTGTACCAGGTGGTGCTTTATGGACAGAACCAGTTCCATTCAGCCAGCAGCCCTATGAGGCACTACCCACTGTACCAATGAGCAAACTGAAGCATAAAGAGGGTAAAAATTTGGCTAGAGGAATGCTGCTAGGAAGTGGCAGGACCAGGGTTTGAACCTAGCTCTTATTCAAGGACTGGTGCAATCAACCATATTATTCCTGAAGTTCTGAAACATCTCCAGCTCAATATATCAGTTCCTTTTCTATGTGGGAAAGGCCTTAAGATAAAACTAGATAGGAGAGAGGATTCGATCAGAAATGTAACCCAAGAGCTAACATTATGGAAATTCACTCAACCTGTCTGTGCGCCAGGAGGGCCTAGAGTTCTGACTTCATGTTCAGCACTCAAGTGCACTCATTGCTCTGTGCAAAGTAAGTAAATACGATTGCCGTGGGCTTCCTGCAGGCTTGACTCACAAGTGCAACACGACTCTTCAATGAATCAAGCACACCACTGGCAAGAACAGATTGTCTGCATTGTGTTTGTCTTCACAACATTATATATAACTTGTGGAAATTATTTTTTTGTGTGTGTGGGAAAATACTATAGGAAAGAGATTAAGGAAAGACACCTCGATATGCTGGCATGGTATTTTTATAGAATGCTGTTAAAAATTTCCCAGGTCTCAAGCACAATGTGTACTACCTCATGCCTGCCCCAGGATGGTGTTGGGATTGTGGCGGCCACAGATGGTAGCCCCTGGTTCCCACAAGGCAAGGCAAGCTTGCCACAACCCTCCTCCTCCAAACCCCAAGATGTGTGCAACACCAGCTCACCTATCATAGGTTGTAACAAGCCCTCTGCAATTTTGATGAGCTGCTGATAGATCTGAATGGAAAGGTCGCTCAGCACCTGGCGGTATTCAGTGAGGTCAAAGTTCTTGAGACAGTGCTCGTTCTGCTTCGCAGTGTTCTGCGTCATGAAACCCTGAGGAGGAAAAGCATGCAGCGATGAGCCCTGGGGTCTCTGGAGCTCCACATACACTCTGGCCTTGGACCACTTCAACAACTTCCTATTTGCAAGGCTCCCCTCAGTCCTCTCCTGCGTGTGTAATGCTCTAGAAGACATGAGGCCTTTGGGACGGATGGCCTTAAAGCTAGTGGAAATCTCATGACAGACAAGTCAAATTGTGTAAACACAAAGGCCTAAACCATTTAGATCTTCAACATACAATAAGTTTTATATATTGAGTACCCAAAGCCAGAAAAAAATTAGTAAGGGAAGGAGTCACTCTTTCTGAATGCTTATTCGATATCATCTGCATTCAGATTTCCCTAAAATTTTAGGCTACACGAGGCCCTACAGGAATAGCATAGGCCAGGTTCTGTTCGTAGGAAACAGCTATAGACTCTTGTCATTTACCAGAATTAACAGATGGGTGGAAATGGCAGTGACAGCACTGTCCCCTTTGCTCACTGTACTAGGATGATGTACCGGAGTAAGCACTAGCATTGAAAGGACCCCGTGACCAAGGTCTTTCTCCTTTTATCTTTTTTGTTTTGAGGTGGTCTTGCTATATCATTTAAGCTGGCCTCAAACTTGGGATAGTCTTACCATAGCCTCCCAACTGCCAGGATTAAAGGCATGTGTCACTGAACCTAGCTCCAGTGACCTTTTTATTCAGGCCACGAGGAATTAACAGCAGCCAGAAAGATCAGTGCTGTCAAGGAAGCAGCCATTCCCTCAGTCTGTTGTCCTTTTCTCAAATTACAAAGCAATTTTTAATAAGAAAATGGGCGGAAGCCAGAGGGGCTGTGACTGTGATGGGCTCCTTCATGCTTTCTTGCTGTGTAGACTACACAGAGCTAGTTACACTGTGGTTCAAATCTTGTCCCCAAGAGCAGAAGCACAAGGAACAGCCCAGGTCATGCAGCCCCTGGTCTTGCCCTTTCATGACACTGTTAGAATACAGGTGACACTGCTTACTGTAATCCTCAGCCTGACAGAAGTCTCAAATCAACTGAGGCAGGCCCCTGGAGCATGCCTGTAGGGGTTTTCTGGACAGCTGAGGTGAGAAGGGTAGCACCATTTCAATGGCTGGGCGCTGGACTGAATGAAAAGGAGAGAGGGAGCCCGTGCTGGCCTTTGTTTCTCCCTTGTTCTCTGTTTCTCTGTTGTGGAGCGCTGTTACTAGCTGCTTCAAGTTTCTGCTGCCTTGATTTCTTACAACAGATGGGCACTAACCTGGAATTATGAGCCAAATAATCTCTTTCTCGATTAAGTTGTTTTTGTCAGGGCATTTTATCACACGCGGAACTAAGACATGTGTAAAGTTATGGACCTTGATGAAATAGCAGCAAGTGCTCCTACGCATAAAGAGCTCGTGTATGAGATCGTGGGGAAGGAGCAGAAGGCAGCAAATTCTGATTCTTAAAGGGAGGTGGGGTCAAACCACACTCCGACAGGAGTGACAGGAGCAGAGCTGTGTTCATTTTACCCTAGGGAGAAGATCGTTCCTATTTGTTATGATACAACAGACAGAGTAAAACTCTAAAATATCGTTGTACTGTTTTAATTTTTGCTCCTCATTGACTCTGGGTGGGGCGAGAGAGATATGTGAAAGGCCGGGAGAGCGGGAGTTGAGACTTTGTGGGGATGTGGGAGGCAGAAGGTCTGGATCCAGTGCGAGTCTCACTGGGAAACCGCAAAGTGGAGTTACCTCATGGAGCTGCAGGCACCACATGGGAGAGGGTAATCCCACCAATGGTAGGAGCAGTGAGTTCTAGATAAAGCTGGACTCAAGAGGTCCAGAGTGGGCCATGAAATGGTAGTATCGACTGGGCCTCAGGTCAGTGAATCAAATCAGGCTGGAACTGTGAAGCTGGGCCTCATTATCAGTTTGTACTATGGGTTCTGTGTAAGGGCACCACTCTTCTTGTAGTATCTTTATTCTGAAGTGGACGGAGCCTAAGAGAAAGCCCGATACACCAGACACTTGACCTTCTTCTCAGTCTTCACTGACATGGCTCCTCTGGGACAGCTTTAGAAATACAGGGTCACAAGGATCCCCTAGAGAAATCAAGGGGCTTTCTGGCACTGTGTGGTTAAGCAAACTCATTTCCATGCCTGTTCTACTCTCTTGATCAAGGGGTGATTTTTCACGGGTTCTTGAGCCCACCAAAGCCCAAAGTCTCTGTTTTCAGGCATCCATCAGTCCGTACCTGCTACAGGGTGTGGCTGGCATAGCCTGCCTTCTACCCTGAATTTCCTTGCCCAGGGGGAGGCCCTTCAATATATAATTCAGACATTTTGGTTCCCTCCCTCTCTGTGTTCTCTCTCTTCTTTCTGTATCTCTCCTCCTCTTCTCCTTCTCTCTCTCCTCTCTCTGTATGCAACCTCCATCTCTCTCCCTCTCTCTCTCATGCGACCAAGAACTGCTTTCCATAAACCTGCATTTATATATAACTTCGTCTTGCAATCAGCTCATTCCACAATTTCAGTCTCCTGTGTCCTGGGCCCAGTCCTGCTAAGGCATTCCCATGATCTAAGGTCCTAGCAGGTGCCTCAGAGACCTTCCACCCATCATCTAAGGCATGGATCCAAAGCACCCCAAACCGTAAGAGGATAAAGTGGGGCCCATTTTAGAGGACTTTGCTCACCACTCACCTCATCCCCACTGTACTGCTTCAAACAGTGAAGGAAGCGGCAGGTGTTGGATAACCAGAATGATGTCATCTCAAAGTCATCATTGTGCTTCTGTGGGAAAAAAAAAAAAAAAAAAAAAGGCACACCATGGCTCTGAGTAAGTGTCTCCCATTGGCTGACGTATATCCTTGGTGCCTCTCTCTTTCTGTATTTTCTGGGTTAGCCAGTCCAGTCACAGAAAAGATACCCTTTGCTGAGAGGTTTGCTGATCCTCCACTCCCTGAGAGGGGACAGACAGAGCCATCCCCCGGTGTCCCAATGAGAGACAGATGCACCTGAACACGTGGGAAGCACAGGCTGTCTCCCACGGCTGCAGAATGTGAAGCTGAGTGGCACAAATGAAGCTTAGGCCCAGCAGCCCCAGGCCCCAGTCTAGTCCAAACCTGACCCTGAGCTACCAGCTGTCCACCAGGGCCTGCTGGAGAGCACAGCAGTGAAGCACACTGTCCCATTGATCTAGAAGTCAGATGCTTAGTGGCAATAAACTAAACAACCAACGCTGCTTAGCAGCCCATATACAGCTTGGTCCACCCAGTTTCTGCACTGCAGCCATTGACTTCTCAGAGCCCATTCTGTAAAATTCTTTAAATAGCAATGAGTATAAGCCATGACAATAAAACGAGGCTGACCACACAGGCTATGGGCTAGAGCATGCCAGTCTAGCTCAGAGCTATGGAGGCCTCCCTAAGGAAGTAACATTTGCAGTCCCGGCTGCCTTGGTCTCCAGCTGAAACTTGTATAAGGGGTCAAGGCCAGAGACACAAATTTGAGGCTGATCAGCATGTACTTCAGGGCAATTAGTGGATAAGACTATGTATGGAGCCTGTCACAAGGAAGGCAGACAGGGCAGCTGTCAAGGGCATGCAGCCAGCAGCCGAAGGCTAGCGTGTTCTCAAATCAAGGCTCAAGGGCTCCTTGGAGCAGACCAGGGCTCTTGAGGATGGCTTGCCTCCTGGAAGCAGCAGTGCCAGTGAGAATCTGAGGACTGTCACTGAGGTCTAATCTCCCTCTAAAATGCCCCTCTTACCACTTGACTCTAGCTCCTTTGTGAAAATGCCTCACACCCAAACAGCCTATGTAGCAAGCAGCTGCTACTAACATTCCTTAAGAGTCTTTTGCCTTAAGGTGGCATTCTTGGGCTATTTTATGTCTGTCCCCAAGAGCTGCCCTGTTCTGCTACTGATGAACGGAAGCAGCTCTGCTGTGCTACCAACCAGGATAGCATGTCCCAGCCCCTTGGAATGGTGAGAGGGAGTGTGGGTTCCTGAATTTGGCTCAGAGGCAGCCCACCTCCCTGGCATCTATGCTGGCGCGCAGCCAGGCTTCCCCATAAACGCAGGCTCAGCAGGGAGGTTGCTGGAGGCCCACACGGGAGTTCTGTACTTCCTGACATGTGCACACCCTGGGCTGCCCTGAGAACTGCTGGGCATCCCAGATGGTGTCATTGGTACACTGGCAGAACACAGACACAGGGAGGCCATGGAGGTGCTGGATTTGCTAGGCCGCTGGGGGCTGCACTGTCTGCACGGGCTCCTTACTCACCTTGAGGACCTTCTTAATGCCGTTGATGGTGGAGCTCAGCAGCGAGTGCACCTTGAGGTCATCGTTGGTGTAATCCGCGTGCCTGATGCACATGTAGAGTATGTATGCAGGCAGGCAGGGCACGGTACCGGACAGCGTCTGAGGCTTCAGGTCTAACAGCAAGAACATGTGAGTTAGGTCTTCCGTCTTCTGACACTGTGAGTGTCAGAAGGCTGGCCTCAAAGAGAAAACTTGCATCATTTCCCTGCTGCTCTCACAGGCCTCCATCTCTCACAGGGCGTGAAGGCGGACTGATAGACCCCGGTGACTTGAGACCCCAAGGGCTCCTGTATCTGAACCCTTGGTCCTCAGTTGGTGATGCTGTCTGGGGAGGGCATGGAACCTTTAGGAGGCTGGAGGAAATGCATCACTGGGGGTGGGCCTTGAGGGTTATAGCCTTACACTGCACTACTTCCTGCTTGCTCTCTGCTCTCTGCTTCCTAGGGCAGTTGAAATGGGATCAGCCAATTTCGTGTTCAGGTGCCTGCTGCCATGCCTCCCTTGCCTTTATGGACTCTATCCCTCTGGACTTGTAAGCCAAACAGGCTCTTTCCTGAGTTTGTACACACTCATCCACCCATGCACCAGCAGATGGAGACACTGGTCGAAAAGCGAAAGTATGGCATGGCCACGTGTAATCCTAGCACTCTGAAGACAGAGGCAGGCAGATCTCTGTGCCTTTAAGGTCAGCCTGGGCTACATAAATGTCAGTCAGGGCTGCATAGAGAAACCCCGTCTAAAAACAACCCCGCCACACAGCAACACACACACCATTCCTAGGTGCTTATATTGCAGCAGTGAAATGGACAGGCCTCCAACGATTTATCTGCCATGTGGACAACAGGGCCACCTGGTACAAACTTATGCTGTGGTCCCCAGGAAAAAGCTTACAGCTACAGGCACGCTGTAAATAGAACCTGGCTCATGCAATGGGGCGAGAACTCCTCCATCTCTTGGGCACCTAGGGTTCTGGCTGAGGACAGTGGATTCTTTGATAGGTGAAGATTGGTAGCAGGAGAACTTAGCAATATTGTATCTTATAGCAAATCATGTGTTCATGATAATTGCCAGTTGGCCGAGGGCTGGGAATGCTGAAACCACCTCTGGTCCGTGCATACGATGCTTAGTTTTTTGTTTTTTGGCCAACTTGACACAAAAGCTAGGGTCATCTGGGCAGAGAACTTCAACAGAGAAAATGCCTCCTGTAGAGTAGCCCAGGAAGATTTGTCTTGAGCAGTGAAAGCTGTGGGAGGGCCTGTCACACTGGGGGTGTTTCTAGATGGCATAAGAAAGCAGGCTGCGGGAGCCATGGGAGGGAGCCGTGGCGGGAGGTGGGGTGGGGGGAGAAACCAGTAAAAAGCAGCACTCCTCATGGTCTCCACTTCAGTGTCTGTCTCCAGGTTTTTGCCTTGAGTCCCTGCCTTGACTTCTCTTCACAATGGGGTGTGATCATACGGTCACGGTGTTTTACGGCCACGAGGCACACTTGAACAGCGGAGCTGCAGCGTGGGTGGATTTCCTGGCAGTGCTTGCCGTGATGTCTCGCAGTTGAACTGGTCCAGCAGCTCACTGCTTCCCTGCCTCCACTCAACATGTCACTTTCTCCAGCTGCTCTCTTCTACACACCCCCATCTCCCTCTCTCCCCCCCGCCTTGTACTGTGACTATGAACTTCATGCTGATACTCAAGCTCCTTGCCCCTCCCTCCTAAGACCCCTGGGAAACTGTCAGATGGAGCCTAGTGTCCTGTGGAGCTAAGGAGCTGGGTTCAAAGCAGTGAGTAATGGCAAGGGACCAGAAGAGCGGGAAGAAAGGCCCGGTGCCGTGTTAAGATGATGGGTGAGAAAGGGCCCAGCACCTCACCGTGCTGGCTGTATCCCAGCTCTCAGCCTTCAGTCTTGTTACCCTGACCAGACCAAGCCCTGAAAACCCTGTGGGCTTGGAACTCACAAATGGGGAGGCTTCTCACCCTCTCCCTGGGCTAGCAGCATCCTTAACTCATCCAAGGCTGGTGAGGGTTGGGGTAGGGCTGGGCTGCAAGTACCTTCAACTGATACACAGGTTACATCAACTCTCTCAGATCCGTGCTTCCAGTTAGTGTTAATTGCAGGCCATAACACTTTGGATACACCGTTAACATTCTGGCATTTTCTAGGTACAATAAATGGCTATAGATTGGCTCCTGGCTCTATTTAGAATGCCAGGAATAATCATCCAGGAAAAAATACATTTCATAGGCCCACACTTCGAGTCTCTAAAATCTTACTTCAGGCTTTACCTATGTGCAGATTTTAAGCAGCCTGTCTTGCCTTGGAATGTTCTATTGTGATAGAGCAGGCCCAGCTCTGTTTCCTAGGCAGATGCTATGGTCTTATAGGGTGGGGACTACAACTCGGCTTTCTTCTTCACTCTGAAGCAACTAGTCAGTGATAGTTTCATAAGAGGTGGTCCATCTATGTATGTGGGGTCATCTGAAGGGCAGACAATGAGGTACTCTTTCTTGATATCTAGGTAGGAGGTGATCACCTAGAGCCATCTAAGCAGGGAGACCAGGAAGGAACCCTTGACTCACACTTAAGTTATAACATTTAGAGTCCTATTTACTTATTCAGTTAATGCTGATGTTGTAAACTTTTCTGTTTCACATTTACCACAGAGGGACATTTGCTCATTGTAGGTCACGTACAGTTAGTTGTTGGAGCATAACAGCCATCATCAAATTACTAAAAATGTCCAAATCAAATGACCAAAGGGCAACTGTGCTGGGCAGAAGCCATAGTCTATTCTCCTGTGCTCCCAGGCTTGGCAGAGGACTCAGCAGAGGGCCCTCTGCCCAGGAGGGCAATGTTTACCTTGAGCTCTGACTCCTTCCGTGAGTACCTAGAAAGTTACTAGAATGATCTCAGTACCCTCCAATATAAAGCCAGGATTTGTGTAGTGCCTCCTGATACAGATGCTGAGAGAATTAAACAATCGAGGAGGGTACACAGCCCATTTGGCCTGGTTGCTGACAAGCCTGAGCTGCTATTGCCAAGGCGTCTTTGCCCACCCTCAACTTCCCCAGAGAGAGAATTGCAGCTGCCACTGCAGAGAAGCATGTGACAGGCAGGAGCAATGTGGCTGCTGGCAGAGTGGAGGCCTCCCTTCCCTGCACTGATGCTAGGCTGTGGGGGCGGGGGGAGTCTTGGGAAAGCAGCAGTGGCCATAGGAACAGCTATAGATGGCGGGCATGAGGCAGAGGAGGCCAAACAGGCCTGCCGGGAGACAGGAGCGTTTTGGGGCTGAACACAGAAGGGAGGGAAAGAGCTGGCGGGTGGCAGTCCACCGTAGGCTCTGACCTGTCACCAGGTTCCGGATGAGGATGGCTTCGTCCTCTTTGTGGTACTCAAGCATGCCCTGGAAGTCCTTCTCTTTTCGCTGGACTGTGACCTGTCTTGTGAGTTCATGGTGCCTCCGGTCGCTCTGTGCCAGTGCCTGGGCAGCTGAATGGGGAAGAAATGACAGAAACGTGGGGAGAACTCGCAGCAGAAAGCCTGCAGGAGGAGGGGTGTCCCAGCCTGGGGGTCACTCTCGGGGCACTGCAGCACCCGTACTCTATTTCTGTAGCCGGAACCCTCTTTAGCTGGAGGTCAAGGACATCAGCGCTTGTGCTGGGGTCTCCTGGGTATGGGGAGAAATGGGTAGGTTTGGGACCAAAGAAAATATGAGTGGCAACCATGTTCAGCTGCCCTTGCTGGCAAGTGCTTCTTTCCTCCTGCCAGGCTGTAAGGAAAGCCCCTGAGTCTGGGAGGAGAGCTGGCCAGGCTCAGTTCCCTGGGTGCACCAAAGCACTGGCCATTGTGACACTGTGCTGGTACAGTTGTGGGCTGGCTAGGGGAGCGGGTGGTGCAGAAACACTATTCCTGGAAGCCAAATGTAATGGGGCTTGGGGAGGGCGTGCTAAGTGTGGCCCACATAAGCACGGTTATCCAGGAGGCATCTTAGTGGGACCAATTAGGGTACTAGTCAAACTTCGTTCAGACCTTTCCTCAGCCTGGAGGATGGTGGTAGACTCCAAATATTTATTCACTGCACATCTGGGTCTCGTCATCCATCACAGGACAGATGGGAAGTCCCCAGTCTTGCCCATACCAGTTCAGCTGAGTAGATGCAGTTGTGTGTTTACATGGAGGTGGGGGTGGAGGGGGAAACCACTTGACAATGCAGCTTGGCTGGGTGCCAGGCCTGAGTGGGCACTATAGGCGCTGGTGGAGGCCAAACACCGGGAGAGCCATGCAGGAAGGAAGAAAGTGGGGCAAGAACAGGGCTGGTCCATCAACCCATCTGCTAGAGCAGCAGTCCTCGCTCTTCCTAATGGCGCGACCCTTTAATACAACTCCTTATGTTGTGGGGACCGCCAACCATAAAATTATTTCATTGATAATCCATACCTGTAATTTTGCTACAGTTATGAAGCATACTGCAAATACCTGTGTTTTCCAGTGGTCTTAGGTGACCCCTGTAAAAGGGTTCATGACCTACAGGTTGAGAACCGCTGCCTTAGAGGAATGGGAAAAGGAGCAGGGCCAGTGGTCACCCACGGTGGGCCCTTGTAACTGCTGGAGCGATGCTCTGTGAGTGTGCACAGATGCAGGAACACACACAGAGGAGCATCAGGTGAGAGCGGGGGTTTCAGCCTGGCTTTGGGGAGGTGAGGGCACACAGGGCTTTGAACAGAGGTAGGCCCTGGGAAACTACGGAGCCACTGGGGAGTGAGGGCACAGAGTGTGGAGTAGTGGAGGAGGGGGAAATAGGCCTGCTAGACAGAGCAAACTGGAGATCTTAGAAGCCGAGAGAGAGCCTTGGAGAATGACAAACCAAGGCTCAGAAGAGAAAAGTCCCATAGATGGAGGGCGCACAGGAGCACATGTGGTGAGCCCATCAACAGGGAAGAGGTCACAAGCTGCCTGGTGTGGGCAGAGATGTCACTGATGCTATATAAACAGTGGGTATACGCCTGTGATCAGTGATGCGCCCTGAAGGCTGTGGCCTCAGCACAGTACAGGACATGATTCCAAGCGGAGGGTGGTGGCTCTTGAGCTGAGGGTAGAGGATGGAGAGGGTTATCTGTGACATGGGGCTCCTGAGGGTGGCACATGCTTAGAGGGTGCAAGAGTCCCAGGGAAGAACATTCCCAGGGCTTTAGGGAAGTGGTTCAGATATCTGTTGGCCCCTTCCTCAGGGCCAGACTCCAAACTGGAAGTTGAATGTGACATCCCTTGGCATGGGGTGAGGAACCCTCTTTGTGCCACAGTGGTTTTTCGCACCAGAAAGCCTCGCCTCTGACTATGCCCTTGAAAGGCAGATACCACTGTGCACCTGAATGGTTCACCCTTGCAGCCTGTAGAGCTTGGTCATATCTGTTCAAGCTGGGTCTCTTCCCTAGGCTCCTGGTGGCTGAATTCTTCCATGGCATGACTGGTAAAGGCACAGCCACCAAGGAAACCAATGGAGCGAACAGTGGGCCAAAGGGCAGGCAGCTGAGTCCCACAGGCTGGCAGGGACACTCTGCCTCATGCACACACTCAGGTACAGCTCATGCACCCTCAGGCACAGTACCTTCTAAGTCCTGGACCTTCTTCATGTAAATCTTCAGCTGCTTCTTCAGCTTCCTCTCATTCTTTTCCAGCTTTTCTACCAATTCCTTGAAATCCTGAAAGCAGTAGGGGAGCTGTGTGAGAACAGGATGTTGGTCTCACCCTGAAGGAAAGGTAAAATCCTAGCCGGGAGCAGAGGGGCCCAGGAGACTAAGGAGCCTGCTCAGGTAGGAGCAGAAGGGCCACCTCACACAGGCTCAGCACCTGCTCGGAGCCTAGGTGATGAGTCAGAGTTCATTCTGCCAGCAATAACAGGGTGAACTCCCAGGGCAAATTCCTCCCACTGGGCCACTCTGGCGCCTTGTGGAATCCTGGGGCTCCCTAAGCCAAGCCTCCTCCAGGGATACTCAGGCTAGGGATCCAGGGGAGCAGTGGGTAGCTCTCTGGGTGGAGGTGTAGGAATTTAGCCACATAGCTGGAAGACTCAGCAAGCCAAATAGGCTTCTGGGATCAGAAGCCAAACAGGGCAGGGGCTGTGGCCCCAAACCCTAGCAACTGTTGCCACTCGAAGTGAGTCAGTCCATCGGGACCTAGAACAGCAAACTGTCCAGGGAAGGACTTTGCTATCATTATCGCCCTTACCCAGCTGGGAGGTGTTTCTTTGTGGTAGGGAAGGGAGAGAGAAAAAAATACCTCAGCTCTTTCACCACTAAAACCAAGCCTAGGTAACCAGAGCGATGGAGAAGGAAGAAGCAAACAGTCCATCTTGGGGCCTTTGAAACATCTGTGGTGTGTATCCCTCCTCCTGCCTCTGTGTGTGTTACGGGGTATAGCTCCCAGGGCACTATGTACCAGCAAGCCCTCCACTGTCAAGATAGAGCCTTTGCCTTGGATGATGTTGTTGTAAAGGATTTACCGTGTGTGTGTGTGTGTGTGTGTGTGTGTGTGTGTATGTTCCCATGTGCATGGGAGTGCAGGTGCCTGTGGGGGCAGAAGATGGAGAAGGCTTTACAGTAGGCTTGCAGAAGAGAGTCAGTTACAAGATCAATCCCTGTGCAATAGGCTATTCAGATATGTCTAATTCTAAGTGTTTTGAGGGACTTCGTCTTCATTTAAAACAGGAAGAGCAAAGCGCTGCCATTGCTGCCAAACCAAAGACCGAGTTCAACCCATAGAACCTTCATGGGGGAGAGAACTGAATCCTGCAAGTTTTCCTCTAACTTCCGCACATGTGTGGTAGGATTCCCCATAAATAACAGATGATAGATAGATAGACAAACAAATAAATGACACAGATCACAGAAATTCTTCTCGGATTGAGAAGTATCTAAATTATTTACCTAGTCCAAAGGACAGGGGTGACAGCACAGACAACTGGGGTAGGAAAGAAAAGGAGTTGGGAGAGAGGGAAGAAGGGTAAGGGAAACAGATCAGGGGCTCTGCAGGAAGCCAGTTGGTACAAAGGACTTAAGCGTCTGGAAAAACTTTAGTCAAGATTCCTGGAGGACAGAAAAAGTCTCCTGGTTAGTCTTGGTCACTGCTCTATTGCTGTGAAGACACACTATGAGCAAGGCAACTCTTACAGAAGAAAACATTTAACCGGGGCTTGCTTGCAGTTTCAGAGGTTTAGTCCGCTTTCCTCATGGCACACAGGTGGGTGCTGGAGCAGTAGCTGAGAGCTCCATCCTGACCCACAGGATGAGAGACACACACGACACACACGCCAGGTCTGCCATGGACTTTTGAAACCTCAAAGACAACCCCAGAGGCACACTTCCTCCAACAAGGCCACACCTCCTAACCCTTTTAAATCTTTCAATCAGTGCCACTCCCTGGTGACTAGGCATTCAAATCTTTGAGCCTACGGGGGGCAACCTTATTCCAGCCCCCACTCCTGTGAACCTCGGGTTTACTCTGACTTCACCTCATCCTCAGGCAGCTGCCCTATCAACTACGCTGATCTGCTGAAGGAGACCCCATCGAGCCTCTGGCTGCACAACTGTCATGGTCCCCGCTAAGCTCAATGTGATGCTACCAAGTCCAGAAGACAAAAAATGTTTTATAAATGTCCACAGATCCCTTAAGGATAAACAGTAGTTACCCTGATGCCTTTCTATATCTAAACACCAGACAGTTCAACAAGGAACTGTGGATAACATCCAACATTCAAGCTACAGCAGCTATTCTGTTTCAAGGCACAGACTTCCCAGGCAGCCTCCACAAAGGAGCCTGGGACCTATGGTGCTGGACAATCACTCCTGTGGATGCTGACTGGGACCCATGGTGCCACATCCTGTCCCCCAGCTCTCCAGGTTGGTACCCCTCATTTAAAATGCCAGCGGGCTTCTCCTTAATGTGCTAAGCAGAATTATGCAAAGCTGTGCTCCCCAGACTTTGCAACACACTGGAACCACCTGGGAACCTGTAAAGCCTGAACTCACCAAACTTAAGATAAATTAAGGCCACACCAAAGCTGGCAAACCTGTGAAGCCCCTGCTGAGGCCTAGAGCCACGAAGGCACAGTGATGATGACTACAGGATTTAATGAACTCAAGAGAAATCCTGGCACTGAAGGTTGAATGTGTCTGAGGACATCTCTAGTGAGATGCCACCAGGAAGGACAATTATATCCTCACCCTACCTCTAAGCCTCCCTGACCTCTTCAGCCAGAATCCTCCAGAATTCCTGCACATTTAGCACTAGTCAGCTGTACACATGTCCCTCAGTGGCCATGCTTCATCTGCCAGGACAGAGCAGGTACGGCTATTTGCTGGCTGGGGGGACATAAAGCACAAACAGTGCCTGGAACTTGCCACATGCTGGTTCTGCTTTTGGAACACAGTTCAAGACCATGGTGGAGGTTGGTGTGGTGCTCTGAGTACACATGCTAATTTCTGGGCCACGAGACCTGGTGGCCGCCCAGATGAGCACATTCTCATGCATACCCAATGATGCTGTGTACACTTTGCTCCCCAATATTCTGATTGGTTTCCATCTAGCAACGACCCCAAGAGCTACAATCAGTGAGGCACGGCCACTTACCAGGTTCTCATTGGTCAGCCGAGATATCTCCTGCTGGACTCCAAATTCCACCTGGGCCTCTGGGGAGAGCAGCAGGGTCTGGCAGAAGGTCTGCTGCTGTTTGTCCATCTCCTCCTTCAGGGCCTCCACCTGGGCCTTGAGGCGCTCCACCTCCTCCTCGTGTTCCAGGCTCTGGGCCTGCAGCTGTGCCTCCAGCAACCTGTACCCAGGAAAGCAGGCCAGGTCACCACCACGTGGCTGGGGTGGGCACCCGTAGTGAGGGGCCACAGACAAACACAACAGGGAACAGCCAAGCACGCAGCAGGAGCAGTCAGACAGCCCCAGCAAGAATGGACACAGCAGGGAGATACCAACAGGCCAGCAGGCCAAACAGCGACCCTCTCAGATGACCAGAAGCCAAGGCCAGAGGCAGACGTGGGCTTAGCTCCCTTTGCCCACTCTCATTTTTTTGTTCTATGGGTGTAGATTACTGGGTTGGGATTAAGAGAATGTCTCCATGTCAATACACCATTACGATAAATAAATGTCTCATCAACATCTTTTAAACAGCGGCATCAACATGTGCTCCAACGTCTGTAAGGATTTCCTTGTAAACAGAGCTAATTACATAAGTAAACTCCACTCTTCCCCTCCCCCCTTTAATTTCCACCTTTACTACCCTACTTTATCTTATATATAAGTTTTCCTCCCTCTGGTCTAAAAGGCTAAGACTACTTGGGGGAATGTTTAAGACCAACTAGTGCCATAAGAAACACAGGTCAGAGGCCATTTGGAGAGGCAGAGAGGAGGCTAGAGATCGAAGATGCCCAAGCCCAGAGCGCTGGGCACTTGAGGAGGGCACCTGCCTGCTCTGGTTCAGCAGCAACCCCACCTTGGGATCTGATGCCCACATGGCCAGATGCAATCAGTGCATCCTAAAGGACTTCAGTTACCTGTCCCACCTTTCTGATTTAGTGCAGTCACCTTCAGGGCTAAGGGACACGGCCAGTGGGTTTCGGAAGGACACAGAAGCTCCATTCTTTACTCAGGATGTAGTAAAGTTTCTGCTCAGGGCAGTGCCCAGGGGCACTGGTATCCAGAGGGCAAGGCGTGGGCAGCCACCATGCCTTTTCACCTGAGAGATGGTAACTACTGTAGAGAAGAGGGAGCACGAGAGGGGGCGTCTACTTTGTTGACAGCAGCAGCCTCCTTTTAGGCAGCCAGCTCCACAGCAGGACATGTGTAAGGGCTTCTCAGCAAACGGAGGCAAATGAAAGAGAACATGATGAAGGAGCTGGCCTATCACCAAAGGAAAACAGTAACTTGAGAGTGGTGGGAGATAATCTGCTAACTAAACTAGCATTTTAGAGAGCATGCAGTATTCAGACAGCATCCGACACTGGGTACCACACACTAAACCTCATCAGTATAAGATACAATATTAGCAGGTGGGAGGATGTGCGAAGAGCTGGCCCAGACTACTTTCTGACCTACTGTGTGTTTCCTGCTCACACCTGCCTTACTCTCAAGTGGATTCAGCCCAGGCCATGCCAGGGGTAAGATTCGCATTCAACTGTTCCTGAAGCTTAGGCCTGTGTGTTTTTTTCTAATGCATTCAACTTGATTTTTCTTTGTACCACATCTAAGCTGATGGCAGATATGAGAAGTAACCTACAAATGTTCACAAGGGTTCCCACTCTAACAAAACGAACTTGTGACTGGCAGGACTCTGACCCTGTTGAATAGCCACTTTCTGACTGCGGGATTGCCGAATACCCATCACAGTGCCTTCTCTATATGGAAAGCTTTACCTGCAGCCAGCCTTTTCCTTATGGTGACCCTGTGCGGCAGGGCCTGCTCTGATCCACCATTTGACCTGAATATCCCCTGCTGGGCCACATCTGAGCCCAGGAAAGGCTGCAGCAGTAGGGGGTTTGCTGCTTCCCTCGCTGCTGTGTAGGAATGTCCACTATCTTACCAGGGGCAGCAGGGAGAGGGACACATGACAGGCAAGCGTAAGTAGAGGTGTGGGCACTGCCCAGTCACTGAGGATCCAGGCCCAGCACCCACCCGCCTCTCTGAGCTTGTTTCTTCTTTTGAGAAACAAGCCCTGATGACCACCATCCCATTTCTTGTTGGGAGCAAATGAACAACGTTATTCCTCTGCTCTCTAAAACCACAGACTGGCAAAGAAAGTATGATAGGCCTTTGTGCTGTCTTCATTCTGCATATGTCCCTGGCTAAACTGATCACCTGATGCTGGAAGCAGATGGGGTCAGCTTTGCTGATATTGAACATTGGATTGTCTAGTTAACCAGAACTTAACCACTTCCGTAACCCCATCAAGCTGCACTCGCAAGGACGCCGTGAGGGTCAGACAGCATAGCACACTCGCAGCACAGAGCTCCAGGGAGCCCTAAGACTGGGACCTGCTGCATGCCGATAGCATGTTCTAAGGAGCCTTGCATTTACAGCACAGCCAGCATGCAAACTAGGGCAAGGACTTTGGCTGACCCTGAACAGTGAACAGAGTTGGTAAGTAGCATGTCAGCAGCATGGGCCCTGGAGTCCCACAAGCAAGTTTCCTTTGCAGCTTTTTCTCAATAGTTATATGATTTCTGCTACAGAAACTCTCCCTCTTTTCTATAGAACGAAGAGTTGGGTCACATGGTTTCTTAGGTTCAACTGGGGACACCTCATACCACCATCTTGACCCAGGCAAGCCGCTTCTGCTGATGTCATCTATACACTCACAAAAGGATGAATGGGTGCCTCTAGGGACTACCAGGCAGAAGCCCATGTGACCTGTGCCCCATACCCTCACAGGTGCTCAGGCCAAAACAAGGAACACAGACATGAGCGGGCACGTACACGAGGCACATACAAGATGGGAGCATGTTTGACCTGGCAACTTGTTTTAGGCCTTGGTAAGCCAAGCCGAGTTCTCCATCTTCATTCAAATGTCCCCAATCCTCAGTCTGGCTAGAAATAAAGTAGAGAAAAAGAAGGTGTCCAGCGGAGAGAAGGGAGGCCCTAAGGCGGTGTTGGGCAGGGTCTGACGGCTGCACCTCATGTCTCAGGAGTGTTGCAGCCACCTTTGTAGCAATGATTTGCCCCGAAGGAGACACCAGGGCTACAGGAGTTCTCCAAGGTGCCCAGCAACTGAGCATCAGGGCTGGAGCCGGATGAAGGCCAGCATGCTCTAGTCCAGCCACCCGCTAGGCTCCGGATGGAGAGATGCTGGCACCCAGCTGCACCTCTAGGGGTCTCCCAATCCTCTTTTGAAGCCTCCCCAGCCTTGCTGGCTGAGCTTTAGAGCCTGGGAGGGCCTGCTGGGTCTCTGAGAACATCACCCCACTTCTGTAGTTCTACTTTCCAGAGCGGGGATGTGATGCCTGGACGTACTTCCTGGAAGTTAGCAGCAGTCCTCCTGTCACCAGTTTCACATGTCAATAGAGTTCTGAATCCTGTCACAAGCTGGACTTAGGGAGATGGGTAAAAGTTAATAAATGTACAGCTCATACAGGAAAACAGGCTCATGAGAAAAATGAAAATCAGTGGCCCGAATCAGTAGAGACCTTTGCTCCTAGGTGAAAGAGACCCAAAGTGCCAGAGACTCAAATCCCTTCGTCCTTGTGCTTAGGAGTGTGACTGGGGAGACAGTGACATCTGCTGGCATGAGGAGGAAAACCTTCCTCACACCGAGGAGGAACAGCTCAGCTTCAGGAAATCCACAAACACTCTCAAAGCCACTTTGCGTAGGCCACTGTGCGGAGCAAGGTTCCTACAGTAGCTAAACACAGAGGTGCAATGGAAGTTTTGGTCTTTGTAAAGTCAGTTATAACTACGTGAACATGCTTCTGTTTTAATCCCAAGTGTGGGGTTTTAGTTGAGCTATAGTTTGACCACAGCTTTTAATTGTCTGGTGTGGAGCATGAACTTGGTCAGCTGGTAACAGCCTTCCACGTGTAGCACGGAGAGGGGTGTGGTCTAGGACTCTGAGAGTATAAATATGAGAGCCAAGAACAAGGAGTTGGCGTGTGGCAGGCAGCACTTTGGAGAGACCGGAGAGCAGAGACAGTGTGGCGGTTTGGAGCAGACAGACGGAGAGAAATGCTTTGGGGCACAGCGGCATGAAGGAGCCTGCTAACTGTCTGCGGTTGACGGAGATTGGAATAGAGCCCTAAAAGAACCCCTAGACACTAAGTAGCCAGGAGAAGTAAAGGGGTCTGTGCCCTCTCTCCCCACTAACCTTTTCTCTCTCCTACTTAAGGTTGGGGGGCTGGTTGAAGGGAGGTAGAGGCCTAAACACCCCAAATAAAGGAAATTTTAAATAAGACTGCTTTTTGCTACAGGGAGGAACAGGCAGCAAGGCCCGAGTGTCAGCGTGAAGCCAGGAGCCCTGCCAGGGATGCTCATTTGCATTCCCTAGCCTGAATGTCCATCTGTGAGGTTAACACGGTGATCTGGGTGACCTCAGAAGTAGTTTCTACCGGCTGTAGAGGTCATACAACAGAAACGGCCTCAGAGAGTGTGCACTTTCCCTCTGCAGACCTTGGAAAATAGGACCAAGCACCCACTCTGTCAAATATTCAGCCATCTTTGGTCTGGTCAGCTCCTTGTGTGTGGGCAGATCCCTGTGTGCTCTTTAGCTCACACTTCATTTTCTCTTAGCAGCCCAGGATCTTTGCTGGGGCCTCTGGGAAGTAGAGGAGGAACACAGAGTGAGAAAGGGGCCACACGAGGGAAGCTGCTTTCAGAGCTAGGTGAGTCACTGAGCAGGTGTGTGTGAGGAGAACCCCAGGTGCACTTGTCTCTCTGAGAACTGGCACCTCCAATGGACCTGGCTCCAGCCAAAGGCGATAATAAAGCTTTTCTGTGCTGAGGCCTCCTGCTCCTTCCTGAGTCCCAATGACAGATCCAAGAACACACTCTGTGACGTGCTGTGGAGTTCTACAGCCTTGGTAGGGTTTTGATGGAGGTCGATAGGGGTCAGAGGAGTACTGCTTGAAGCCAGAGCTAAAGCTGAGCCACAGCCATAGTCAGCGCCCAAGCCCTAATCCAGCTCTGAAGGACCTGCCTGAGGGCAGCTGGCCTGAGCAGGGGAGGCAGCAGCTTCTCTCCCAGTCCACCTCCCATCATTCTCTCAGAACTAGCTAGGAGAGGATGACAAGCTTCTCTAAGTTTGGCTTCCATGGCCATCTCTTTCTCTCTGCTTTTCTGTAAGTAAAGCAGTAAGAACAATGCTGGCTGCCCCTAGCTCCCAAGATGGGAGCTTGCACAGACTTGGCGCTCTGGCCAGAGCAGGCCTGTTTGTTCAGTACTGCTTGCCTGCGTGCTCACAGTGGGGGGGCCACACAGAACAGGCAGGATCTCTCTGCAGATCTCTACAGGCCACGAAACCCTGCAAGTGAAAAGAGCGCTGAACCCGAGGGACCACACCACAGATGCTTGGAGGGACTGTTCATGGGACTCAAGTGTATCCGAGGAATCTTCCCAGAATTCAGAATTTTCGAGGTATAGACTTCATCAAAATTCTAAGGGGACCCCATTCAACCACAAGACACAACTTGTATGTATATAAAGCTCTCCATTACAGGCCAACCACAGGAAAAGAACAGAATTTGTCTTCACGGCACCCTTGTCATAGGAGGTACCTGCCTGGGCTCCCCAGCCACAGCCCGACTTCCCCTTCCCTGTCAGTCCAGCTGCTTTTCCACCTCGTGTGTGGAGCTGCAGTGATCACAAAAGTTTCTCAAAGCTGAGGCTGGGACAAAACTGAAAAAGACAAACTTCCGTGGTGCTTAACGTGGCAGGTATTAGGAACCCGCATCTCCAGACCCCTCCTCCTCTAGGCGGCCACTCTTTTCTTAACCTAGCTTCTCAGCTATTAGCTCACTATTGCTGGCTGAGCTTTCTGAGCATGGAATTATTTTAAGATATAGTCAAGGCTATTTTTGTCTTATCACCTCCATTGTTATTGCAGTAAGAAGACAAAATCTGGAGCGTTAAGCAGCCCCTGGAAAGACCCAGATTGGAGGGCTAGTCTCCTGACAGCCGAGGAAAAGAACAGAAAGAGCTCTTGGAGCAATTTTCAGTTCTGCAGATTAGGGCGATAAGGTCCAACACCCAGCGGCCGGCCTGCTTTCTAAATTAATACCACCTGTGCTCCTGTCTCCTCCTCGTCTCATTCCTTATCTTCCACCCAAGATAATACAAGATGACTGGATCTTGACTCCGGCTTTAGCGCAGGGAGTCACCTTCATTCCTTCTCTTTCTTCTTTAGGGAGAATTGGGAGGCTGGCTACATCTTGTCCTCTGGTTTCCCACGTGGGGGGGGGAGGGGCAAGGAGGGTGGGTAGCAGTGCAGCCTGGAAGCCAGCCTTCCTGGACTCTATCTTGGTTCAGCTATAGGCCAGAGGTGAGCCTGACTCAATCCTTCCGGGCCTCGGTTTCTTCAGCTGCAGCAGAAGAGCTGGAAACCCTAAGCTCTGAAGTCTTGAGAGGAAGCAAACTCAGGCTGTGCTCACGACACCGCCCTCTTGTGCTTTCTGAAGGGTTTACTGCTTCCAGCAACTTTGAACAAGTGCTTTCTACTGGAAGGCTTCCCAAGGGCCTTCTCTGTCTAGCAAGTACTTCCCCAGTGCTGGGCCGATGGCCAGTTCCTAGAGAACAGGCTGTAACATGCCAGGCTGGACTACAGCCCCCTTAGTCAGCAGGCCTATCACCTTGTCCAGGTACAGCTCCCAGAAGTGGGCCTTACCTGTTGGTCTGGCAGACCCCATGATAGGCCTCAATGGCATCTTCTTGGTCCACGTGCTTTTCACTGTTGGGCCAACTTGTCCTGGCATTGATGTTTGGCTCCTAGAAGACCCAATTAAAGAAAAAATAACTCTGGTTGTGCAAACAACTCTTGGGAAATAGCTTTCTAATATGGAAATGTATACATGTGCTTTTGGGAAAAAGAAACCTGCTGTTCAACGCAACTTCAAAAGGGCAAATTGGGTAGAAGGACACACAGCATTAGGAAGGCCTGGCTATGAGGCACTGAGTGCAAAGGGTGTGTGTGTGTGTATGTATGTATGTATGTGTGTGTGTGTGTTTGTGTGTGTGTGTGTGTGTGTGTGTGTGTCTGTATCTGTCTGTCTCTGTCTCTGTGTGTTGGGGGCTTGACGGGGATCCTGGGAAGAACAAGCAGCTACATCAGAGGACACAATTCAAGTCTTATTGCTGAAATACTTTATCCCCTAAGCCAGTCCAGTGTCCCCTAGAGTGGCCCAGCCTATTAGAGCCCACTGGATGACCTGGTGACCTTGCATCCCTCCTTCCCACTGTACAATCTGTCCTACAAGGTGAGATGATCAAAACAAACATGAAGGAGACCAGAGACAAAATGAACAGTAAGGGGTATGAAAGGAGAAACAAACGCCAAGATTATCTATTTGTGTCTTGTTCTTTTGGAACATTTTCTTAATTTTTTTTTTAAAATCAAAGCATGCCTGTCTGTACATGTGAGTGCAGTGCCTATGGAGGCCAGAAGAGGACATCACACCCACACAGGGCTGGACTTTTAGGCAATTGTGAGTTGCCTGACATGGGCGCCAGGAACTGAACTCGGGTTCCCTGCAAGACCGGTAAAGTACTCTTAACTGCCCAGCCCATCTCTCCAACCCCCTTGATCACTTTCTGAAATTCAGTACATTCTAGAAATTTCTAGCTTTACATCTTGAAGAAGGTTATGAAGGAAGGGCCTCAAACCCTTTTGCTGCTCTCAGAGATCCCAAAGACAGATCCTGCTCTTCAGGTTTAAGACATCCACGAGTAAAGACACATAAAATGCAAGCCTACTGGCTCAGTGTCACCCCAACAAGCCCAGCCATGGCTGCCACCTCCTTACCGTGGCCTTGCCGGCCAGCCGGCGCTGGTCAGCGTTCACAATCTGGGTCCTGAGGATGAGCACCTCCTCTTTGCGGACTTCAAGCTCCTCATTGGCCAGCTTGAGCTGGTTCAGGAGGAGGCTGTAACTGTCTGGGGAGCTGTGGGTAGAGTTATCCTGCATGGCTTGGTCGGCTACAGCTTTCCTCAGCTCATTCAGGTCATTCTTCAGCTTCTTGTTCTCTGACTCAAGCTCTTGTCTCTGCAAGACAGCCAAGCGGCACACCTCACTGCTTCCTGAATCTGCAGCATGCTCCAGCTAGCTCATCACTTTCTTCCCTTTCCTTAATGCTCCTGGTCTACCAGAGGAGACACTTTTTGTTGTTGTTGTTTTGTAGGTGGAGACACACATGGCTCAGGTTCTGATGACATCAGCGATCAGCCAGAGCTAGGAAGTGAACTTATTACCCCGAGTTCTCCGAGATATGCATCTGGTGCAATGACTCAGCAGTGTTCCCCAGTGCCACAGTATATGTTCTGAGCACGTTTAGCTGTGAAATTCTTCTTTGTAGAAATGGTGGGCTGATGGCTGTGTGTGTGTGTGTGTGTGTGTGTGTGTGTGTGTGTGCGCGCGCACACACTCACCCATGTATACATATGCAGTGCTGGAGAGCAAAGCTGACAGCTGTAAATAAGATGCTGTTAATAGGACTTCCTAAAGCCTTTGTGTGATCACATGCTTTGTGACTTTCTAAGAACTTCTTAATAAAGTGATAATACTCTTCAGAGTCACAAGATGACCGAGCCAAACCCCACTAAGGCAGAATCTCCAATATCTGAGTGAGGAAGCCAAGGCCAAGTGCACGGAAGTGAAGGACCACAGCAAGTTAAGCTACTGATCCGGGGTGACAACACATGTAAGGTGAATGCCTCTTGGATACAAACTGTCACAAGAAGACAAATAGCAGGGGTCTACTGTATGAGGCATCGGGAGCAGTGCAAAGAGACAGGGAGTGGTGTCTGTCTGGGGCTGTGGGGGGAGCAGAAAATCTTCAGTGGAGATAGGTTTTGCAAGCAGAACAGAATTGGGAGGGATGAATAGTAGTGAGCTGATTGCTCATGAATGTATCCTCCATTACTGATCCTTATATACACTTAAAATAGTTAATATGGTAAATTTTATGATATATATATATATATATATATATATATCATAAAATATTTTTTTTAACCACACTGAAAAAAATAGTTGGGAGGAGGAAGGCACAAAAATGACTCAAGGCTGCTTTTTTGGGCAATAGTCATTATTAGCTCATTTGTAGCAGTTGTTTTCTTAGTGACCAGCAGATGGTTGAAACTGCCTCATTATGAAGCCTTTGGGGGGAAGGGTCTGGGGTCTGATGTCCCTTCCCTCCTCCTGGGGCCTGAAGTCTCCACTGTTCTGCTTTGCATTCTACTGCCACACAGGGAAACCCTCTGCCTCACATCTGGATATTGGTTCAAAGCGATTGTATTCCTGTGGCCACATTTTATTTTAACTGGAGCTGTTTCAAGTAGGAAAGGCACGTGTTTCTTGGTAAAAACACATGCTCCCCTTCCTTTCAGAGATGAAGGTGTGAAAGCATAGAATTGAAATCACTTGCTTATTGCTGTAGTGATGAGCAGATTAGAAGCTTAGGACCCACTTTCCTGAAGCCCAACTATGTCACTTGTCTTCTACTAGGGGACAGACAGCCTCACCTTCAGACTGTTGTAGGCTAGATCTGCATCCTGGTCCACATCTATGCCATTGTTTTGTTGTTCCACCTGCACAGGAAGGACAGAAAGGTGAGCACAGGCCGCAGGCCACTGTTCTGCAGAAGTGTCTGACGACGGCCAAACTTTTTCATTCTACTTCTTCATGAAGAGCTGGCCACCTCACCTTCCAAAGGTGTGTTCGCCACCTCCTCCAAAGAGCAGCCCTACACTCGGCTACCATGAATCCCCCATGAACAACTCCGTCCTGCCCCCACTGTATTACATGGCTCCCATGGTGCTGACAGGTTGAATGTGTATAACAAACACTGCAAGTTAGATTATACAACCCTAGTGCTTGTAAGTAAGTCCTAAGTTCTTCTCCCTGTGAATGTGAGCTCATTTGGACATAGGGTCTTGGGAGACGTCGTGAAGTGAGTCCCGAGGCTATAGGAAAGAGCACACAGACAAGTTGGACATATTCACATGGAGGTGGGAGTGGAGTCAGTGGCAAGTCAAGAACCCCAGAAGGCAAGAGAAAAGCACGAGACAAGTTCTCCCCACTGCCTGCTGGGCACAGCCATGTCCAAAGCGTCACTTCTGACTCCTGGAAGAATAAATTTTTGTTAACAGTAGTCGAATTGGTGGTATTTTGTTTCAGCATCCCCAAGAGCTGTAAAACTTGAATACAAATGCTATCCTCACGTTTTTTGTTAGTTTGTTTGTCTGTGGTATGTACTCATGAGTCTAATTCCCAGGTAATTCAAAGCACCTTGTAATGAAGCTGCTTCCTCTATGACCCTCTAGAAAGGAAGCCAGCACACAGGAAATCTGCAGTGCACATAGCATACTTCAGAATGCCAAAGCTGGTGGCTCTGGGCAGCAGTTACTAGAATAACAAGTTGAACAGGACTCAGGTCAGCCACTGGAGTTGAATTGGCTGTTGAAAGGGCACAGACACCTTCCTAAGTGGCTAATTGCTTGGAGCAAGTTTAAGGGGGAGACATCCTGAAGAACATGGGTCTTTAGAACTAAAACCTAATGGGGTGGGGCATTTAATGAGATTAAAGTCCTAGCAACCCGAAGTCCAGGTAAGGCTACCATTGCTGTGGATGGACCAGGGTACCTGGGTTTAGAGTGAGCATCTCCTGTAACTTCTTCCAGATAAAGGACATGCATCTTTGCCATACTGTTTCCTGCCCTGTAAGCCGGGATAAGCCCTGCCTAGGAAGCAACTTTCGCCTTGTCTCCCTCTGTTACCAGTGGCACAGGAAATGTCAGTGATCTGAGTCAGCACTCCTGCTGCTAGGCAGGCGGCCTGCACTTGTGTTCTGTGTGGCATAGACTTTCTACAAAAACCCTCTAAATGTTGACGACACTAGACTCCCAGAGGAAGAGGATCACATACTCATATGTGCAAGTCATGTTTCTAAGCACAGTCTGCTGGAATCACCATGGTAGAAAAGCTAGCTGCACCAGGCCAGGGGAAAGGGGACAGGATAGACGGGGCTGTCTGACAGCAGACACAGAGGGCCCACTCCCATGGCTTCATCAGTCCACATGATAGAACACTCACAGGCACCCCAGCCAGGCTGTATCGAGTGCGGGGCCCCTAAGGAAGGGGACCTGAGGCTATATCCCTCCAGGTGGCTTAGGATTCCTTCTGGAACCAAGGGAAGACTCCGAAACTTGATCTCTAAATATTTAATCTCAGGGGATGATAGGGGATTCCATATTATTCCCTGCCCTACCCCTGTGGGCAACAACACACAGGACAGAGTCTACTGATCTTGCTTGGTGATTATGTTTTGAGAGATTCCTCTCTTTACTTGGTATCCAGACAAACCAACCCTGAAGCCAAGCTTCCAAGGCAATTTGGCACTTCTGAAATGGGAATCCAGAAACCATGTGTTTAGGTAAAGGTATGTAGGAGCTTCTATATAGGGCATGTCTAATGCCATCCATTTCATCCACTCAGATTGTCCATGACTTACGGTGGCTGACTTAAAGTCCCTTGACCTTAGATGGCCCAAGAGCAGCTAACGTTCGCTGGAAGTTGCCTTTCATTTTGAACTTTGACCCTTTCCCAGGCAGGTGATTTTCCATAAGAGCCTTACCAGTGCCACAGAGAGTCGTCCCCATTGATCATGAGGTGAACTGCCAACACCCTGTGGGTAGGTTGTTGCTAAGTTAGTGTCTGGAAGGTTGGAGGAGTAAAAGATCTTTTAATTATGCACATTTTCAACATACAATGGGCTTTTGGGGATTCAGCTCTATGAGTATACGTCCAGTATTGGATCTATGTTTGCCTGTCAGGATAGCCTCTCCTTATAAACTAGAGTCATTTATATACCTAATGCCTTCACTCCCCACTCACTCTAATCCACTGAGAGACTTCATCCCCAAGATGTACGCCTTCACTAACTGCTTATTTAACAAGACAAAACAAACAACAAAAACCCCCAAGACTCCGACAGCAAGCCACCCCAGAGTCTGCAGCACATCTGACTGGAAAGGGGAGAAAAATGTTAGCAAAGGAGAGTTTGGGTCCAGGTGATGGGGTCAAGGAGGTAGGAAGAGTGTCAACTCCCATGATTTTCAGTTTAGGCTCGAGAATAGATCTGCTAGTGATATGACCTGGAACTGGTCTTAAATCCCACCAGAAGTGCCCCTCACAACTTCAAAGTAAGAAAAAGCAGTTCTTATCTCCTGTACTGCTGGAGCCGATGGCTCTCTGCTGTAACAGTGTCTATAGGTTTGTAGTCAATTCTGCATTCACAGCCACACTGCAAAGTTGCTTTTTACTTTATACCTGGGCTATGGCTGCTACTCCCAAATCTGATTCAGATTCTCCAATGGCTAAGTTTGTCTCCTGTATTTTTACCTGTTGTTTTTTTTTTTAAAGAAACTGTAGTAGTGAGTACTGTGCATGCATGTAAGCGTGTGTCATGGCTGGCATGTGCCGTGATATCTGTGTGGAAACCAGAGGACAACCTGCAGGATTCAGTCCTCTCCTTCCATCATGCATGTCCCTCAGTTCAAGCTCAGGCCATCAGGCTTGGCAGCAAGTGCCTTCACACACACAGAGTCACCTTGCTGGCTCTAAACTCCCTTTCGTAACGCCCACTTTACGTACTTGCTATGAGTCCGATAGTGGCATGGTTCTGTGTGCATAGCTTAGGTGCCCCAAAGTCCTTGAGACAGAGCAATTACTTTCCGGGGTACAGTTTCACATGGTTTCCTTTCAAGACTCAGGAAGATGAGGATGACTTCAGTCGTGATGATGTGATGGCATAGCCATGGGTAAGAAGAGTCTCCTCTGACTCTGAGCCAGGGGCTGAGCTCATGGTAGATTACCGGCACAACAGCGAGGTAGGTTTCTCTGCTAAATTTGACTTCTGCTATATTGTGTATCTCTGCACCTGCTGCTGGTTCTCCAGTGAGGAGTTCCCACAGACTCCCTATAGCTTCCCAGTGGGAATCCTTTGCCCTGGAGCACTCAGGGAGCACACCTTGCACAGAGGCAGTGGTGTGGGACACTCACAGAGGAGTGAACAGTTTCACTCTTAACAAGAGAAGGTTCTGAAACCCAACACCGTGGAGACCCAGTGGGCTCACAGAGCTGTCACGCACCTGCCCTTTCTTGCTGTCCTGGTGCTCCTTTTCTAGCTGTACCTGCAGCTTCTTCCTCTCCTGCTCAAGTTCCCGCACTCTCTTCTGCAGCTTCAGGAAGACGGTCATGTCCATGGCTGCCTTCTCTACACCAATATCCTGCAAAGGAAGCGGGGTGCACAGAAGGTGGTTTTCACAGCACAAATGCTTCTGGGAACACACAATGCCTCACTGCCCACCTCTGCATCGGCCATCTGTCTCCCCACCCCCCAACACCAACCCTTGCCTCCAGCACAAAGCCTGTGCTAAACCACTAGTGTTTCTCATAGGCAAGCTGGTGCTGCAGGCTTATTCTCTTCTTGATAATATCTCTGTCTCAGCCATTTACATTCCTCCTGTGTGAGCCACTTAAATGACCAATCACATATTCTAAGAACAAGTGGACACAGGCACAGCCATTTTCTTTGGAAGCTAAAGGGGAATCCACTTCTGGAAAAATGGCATCACATCAGGACTCAGTGCTTACTGATGAGCAGTCTCTGTGGCCACCAGTCACTGTAAATGCGATGCCAACAACTACTTGATTATAACTTGAACCGATTAATACTTGCCCTGCCACAGAGCCCATTTTTCTAACAGATCTTCATGCACTGATTTCCCAGTGTATTTCTGTCTGTTCAGGTTCATGTCTGGATTTTACTATGTGGGCTATGTATGTGCACAAACGTGTCTGCCTGTCAGCAGGTAACGTGTATGGGCACAATTGCAGCCTGCTTTTAACAATGCCATGTACATGTATGGCAGCGTGGTCTTGTTCTACCTCCTATAATGAGTACAGCTCAGGATGAGTCTCAGTGCCTTCAAGAACAGAGCCCACGTCTGCATGGAAATGGCATCCATGCAAATGCTGGGTGGCTGGCAGAGACGATGCTGGCTCCAGTCTCCAAGTACACTGCAACCCAGTGGTCCTGTTCTTAGTGTGTCTCCTAGGCCTGTGGGCACCACCAGAAGAGCAGTAGATCTCTGTTGGGTAGTTCCATGCAGGCAATTAACATGTCCTGGGCAGGATAACTGCAAACAGTGCCCCAGTCTTACCTCTACCTGCTGAAGGGCATCCTCAGTGTCTCCGATCTCTGAAGTGGAAATGGAAGGGTAGTTGGAGTCAGATTCTAAGCTGCTTTGATTTGATGGGTTCTTCCTGTGGCCCGGAGTTTGCTGCTCGAGGAGAAAAATGTGACAATTCATAACCAGCCTATGGTAATGAGAAGTAACTTCTCAAGGAGCAGCGGGCCCTGGACATCCTATCAACAGCTGTGGCAGTACTGCTTGTTGGACCAGCAGATAGACAGCTATTCCCATGTACACCAGGTAAATGTTCTAGCAGCAAGCCTCATGCCCGGCCCTTCCCTTGTCTCTCATTGCTTTACAACCCAGACAGCCGGAAAGCGAGGCGGGAAGAGCCTCTCGCTCCCAGCCGGGCCCTCACAGTGCACAGTGCACCCTCTCCATGATCTTGAAAGGTACCCTTTCTGCAGCCCTTCCCCACACAGCCTCTCCTTCCACCCCATTCTGCTTATGGAGAGGATAGTAATTAGAAATAGATCGTACTTTCTGTGCTATTCACTAGAAGAAGAAGAAAAAGAAAACCTTTCAAAACCTTTTTAGCAGCTGGTTTGTCTTTAAGAGTGAAAACTGAGCCTGGTGAAATTTTTAGATTTCTATTTCAGTTCCTATTCAGATTCCTTTCCTGGTTTCCATGCAACTCACTTACTGCTGTTGAATATGTATGCTGGGAGGGAGTATTCATACGGGTAAAAAGAATGTCAAATCCTGAAATGTCACAGAAATAGCTTTCATTTTGTCAGAGATTAGGAGACCCAATGAGGCAACTATGGGTCTCTTTCCACGTGTACCAATGCAGCGGAGGTCACAGCCTATTTCACCACTGTCTCAGCACTAGAATTTTCTAGAACAAGAAACAGGATGACAACATACACATACAGGAAAGGAATTCCTAACCTCCTAAGATCTCAATAAGACCTCAGTGTTGGGAAAGAGCATCCTTTTCCCAACAGATGGGAAAGGGACCACCGGCTGGCGGCTTCCTAACCACAGAGTTCTCATAGGAACAGAAGTTCAAGGGGTCTTCGCCCACATGCACATTTACTGAGCAGAATACTGCCGGAGGGCAAGGCTATACAGCCAGCTCTAAAAGGGCAGAAAAGGAAGCCATTGCCACCAGGCATCAGAACTGCCTCCCTTGCCTTTAGGATGGTCACCTCGTCCCGCAGGTTCTCATATCTCTGCTCCAGCTGGGAGTATTCTTTCACGAGGTTCTGGTACCTGGACCGTTCTTCCTCCAGCTCCTTCTTCATCTGGAGGTTCTCTTCCACAGAGCTCTGTGAAGATTCAGCTAGAAAGCAGGAATAGGAAGTGGGTTTCAGCACCAGCGCGGATCCTCCAATGCGCATGCCCTGCTGAGAGCATTCTGACTAATATCTTGTTGAGAGGCTGCCCACGACAGGCTCGCCCCAGACGCTGTGGATGAGTCTCTCGTGCTCCTCACCTACCGTGCAGTTGAGGAGGGCTCAGACAGGAAGGAGAGTGACTCTGCTCTGAGGGAAGTGGGGAGAGAAACTCTCAATGCCCACGAGCACACCCACCCAGTCCATGCGCCCGCCTCTCTTGTGACAGCTGACACATGAAGTCCTGGCAGCATTTCCAGCAGAACCATTCTGAACTCCCATTGCAATCCTGATCTTTCAGGTCCTTGGAGACCAGACCAGAGGTGATACAGGGTGAAGCAGGAAAGGAACCTAAGACATTCAGATGGGCTTTCTTCTCCTGCCAACCTTGTATCCATAGCAACAGAAAGCAAGTTTTCTTTTTTTTTTTCTTTAAGGGCAATTTGAAAGCAGCTTATATTTTCACAAGATCTCAGGCTGGCAGGGCTGTGAGGTTATAATGCTTGGCTGCCCCATGAAACTCCTGAGAACTGTAAAAATGGGAGGAGATCTGGTTACACTGAGCCGACAACAGCTGGATTTATCTGCTCCACTATTCCCCCTCAGCCAAGTGAGCCACAAAGGTGGGTGGCAGCCTAGACATTGTTGGGCATACGAGCGGGGCTATCTAGGAGTCCTGTCTTTCAGCAAATACTAAAGTGACCATCTGGTGGGAGACACAAGTGATAGAGGAGCAAGACGAATGTAAAGCCAGCAGATGGGCATTACTGTGCTGAGTGCCGGCTTAAGGACTCTCTATCTCGCTCATCCCACCTCCAACCCCCTCCAGCCCTTCCAGGTCTGTCTTTCCTGCCTATTTCCAGATGGAGCCTCACACAAGGTCACAGACCCGCATACAGCAGTGTCACACTTTCAATACTGGCCTCCAGATACCAAGTCCCATGCACAGTTTTGCACATTAAGTGTGTGTTTCCCTTTCAATAGACTCTTCAAACAAATGTCACAGAAGGATGTTAAAACTGGCTTTCCTTTTCCTCAGCTCTCCCTTAGTAAGCCCTGCCTCCTTTGCATCATCTAGGAGGCTTTGGAAACCCCGTGAAGAGTGAGCTTACCTTTCAACTGGCGCAGGATTTGGTTGTTAAGGTGTTCTTTCTCATCCTTCAAGAGGGCATTTTCATGTTCCAGGTCTGCAACTCGCTGAAAGAGACCAACAGGTGAAACAAAACAAAACAAAACAAAACAAAACAAAACAAAACAGAAAAAGCCATTCCCCTGTGGCTCCTATGGAGAAGATGGCATTAAACACTCTACCTAGGAAAACAGATTAAACCAAAGTTGCTTTCATTCTGAAGGAAAATTATGTACACAGAAGAAAAAAAAGAATCCAAGCTATGCAAGATAGAGTGGCTCAAACCACTCGTGGTCATTTAAGACCCACAGAGACCCCTAAAACGTCTGTTCTCGGCTCGCGTTCCTTACTGAGGAATGCACAGCAGAGAGAGCCTTTCATGTGTGTGAACCTGCTTGTCTCTCCTGCTGAATCATAAGCTATAAAACCTGAGTCTTGGGAGAGCCAGAAGCTCAAGCGGACACATCCTCTCTGGTCTTTGTTCTGCCTGCCCTTTCCTGCTTCACTGGACCAGTGTTCCAGATTCTGAGAGGAGGAGACATTTGGTGCTGACATTCAGATACCTAATCCCAACGTGTGGCTCCTGACGACATTGCCAAAGAAACATGTGGTGACGAAATTCTGGTGGGTCATGAGTAAAGAAAATGGATTTGGGGCTGGAGAGATGGCTCAGAGGTTAAGAGCAGTAGCCGCTCTTCCAGAGGTGCTGAGTTCAATTCCCAGTGACCACATGGTGGCTCATAACCATCTAGAATGAGATTTGGTGCCCTCTTCTGGTGGGCAGGCACAGATGTAGGCAGAATATTGTATATGTAATGAAATAAATAAATCTTAAAAATGAAAAAGAAAATAGATTCTACCAAAGGTGAATATGACTGCAAATAAATAAATAAATAAATAAATAAATAAATAAATAAATAAATAAATAGTTAAACAAGGAAGAGACATTAAAGAAAAAAAAACAAGAACTTCTGAAGGAGAAACTGTCTATGATTACAGAAATAAATATATGTACTTTAAAACAATTCAGATGAATGTTCTAAAGGACTTTGAAATCATTAGTTGATATTAAACATGAAATAATGGCCAAGTTACCCAGAAATCCCACTCCTAATCCCCATAAAAACATAAAAACCTAATCCCTATAAAAACTCATACAAAGGTGACTATAGCAACATTTTTCATGGTAGTCAAAAGGTAGAAACAACTAAATATTAACTAATGGCCCAACTACATGGCCATATGATGTTATATTATTTAGTAATGCTAACTGAAATACCAGGGCCAGTGACGCAGCTCACAGGTAAAGATGCTTACTACCAAGACTGATCGATAACCCGTGTGCAACCCCTTGGTTCTACATGGCAGAGAGCGCAGACTCTTTCAAGTTATCTTCTGACTGCTACACACGGCCTTTGGCATGTATGTACCCCTCCAAGATAAACGAATAGGCATAATAAAAAATTAAAAACAAAAACCGTAATTCTGGGTAAAAAGAAGCCACAAGAAACGGCATCTGTATGGTGAATTGGAAAGGGATGTCTCCAATGGAGTCACAGTCCCACCTTCTAACAGCTCTGTACTGAATTCACTGTTCAGTGGTAGCTTTTCCTCCATTATTTAGCTCTCATCTGTCACTTTTCCCAGAAGCCTTCTTATCCTCTGAAAATGAGGCCCACTGAGTGCCTTACTCTTTTTGGCCCAGTGTCCCTCTACAGGCTCTGTGAGATCACAGTGACTCTTGGCTTACCCTTTCAGCCTATGGACCATCAGACCATACTGCAGTGGGCTGGGTTCTGAGGATGTCACAATCTGGCAGTATAATCTGAGTGAGGAAATGTCTCTAACGTGCTCATCATATATTTGAACACCCAGTTTTTGTAGCAATGTTTGGGGGCCAATGTCATGGTACCTTTAGGAGGTGGAGCCTTGCTGGAAGAAGTATGCTGGACGAAGGGGCAGGCTTTGAGTATTTAAACCTTGGCCCTATGTCTTGCTCTCTCTGTGTGTGGGTGAAAATGTGCTTTCTATCTTTGCCATTATATTTTCCATGGTAGTTGTCATGCCTTTCTTCCCATGGTGGAGTCCCCTTCTGGAACCATACGCCAAACAAACCCTTACTTTCCTAGGTTGTTTTTTGTCATAATATTTTATCACAGCAACAGAAAAATAACATATACATGGGACACTCCCATGAGTTATTGGTCAGGGAGGCCACAGAAGCCACCAAAACAACATAGGTTCTTGCCATTGCTCTTAGTTGTCTTCAATGACTAGATGTTAAGAGCCCATCGGTGAAGATGCATGACGTGGAAGAACCAACCTTTAACTGATGAGAAAACCCTTTCCTGCTGGCTAGCGTACATAATACTAGAAGGTACTGTGGAGACTGTTAAGAGGAGGAAGGCATTAACGTCTTATCCAGTACTAGAATCAGCATGCTTCCATACTGACCTGCCTGGAAAAATGTGTTAGTGGCATGAAGGTTATTGGTAATAACCACTTTCGGATGCCATATGAGGTCTGTTCCTTAGGAGGGATTTCAAGCTGGTATTACAAATCCATGACTGAGAGCACAGGCCAGGAGGGAAACTTATTGCTGTTGTTTTGCTAAGCGGTCCTGCTAGCAAACTACTCTTTAAATATTTATGTTAATATCCATAATTTTTTCCTTTTCACAACTTTGGTTGAGAAGCTTTTTTTTTTTTTTTTTTTTTTTTTGTATGGGTAGTGGTTGATGCAGATTCATAACTGGTCAAAATGCCAAGTTTAAGTCATTGTCAATGCTCACTGTAGATTTGTTATCCATACTGAATGCCCCGTCCTTTGCCCATCCAAGGCTCAGGGAACACAAGAGAGGAATGGGCAGAAAGGATGAGAGATCTGGAGGAGGAGGAGGAGGACTGTAAGACAACTTCTAGGCTGTTATTTTCATTAAGTTACAGCGGCTGTGGTTACTGCCTGGTCTACAAAGGGCAATCAAAACCCCAGCACCGATGGGGCAGGGAACTCTGAGCTTCCATCCTTCATGGAGGAAATACTGGCAGCTGTAGTCTACTCAGTGAAGAAGAGTTACTGTGCTTTGAGGACATGGCTACTGGTAGGTTGCCCATGCCCAAGTGGATGGCCCCACACCTGTGGATATGGGCAGCATTGATTGGACTCAAGGAGTTATTCAAACCAAGAAAAAAAGGAGGACATGAAGTTTTGGAGTATGGGGTACCGGGAGGAGTTGGAAAGAAATAGTAGTAAATGTATTCAAATAATAAATTTAATTTTTTTTAAATCTAAGGGGTAAGAAGCCAGTGAAATGGTGTGTCAGAGGGAAGGGTGATTGCCACCAAGCCTGATGGCCTGAGCTTGATTTCCAGGACGCAAACGATGGAAGGAGAAGACTTACTCCTAAAAGCTATCCTCTGATCTGCACACACACTCTGACAACGTTGTTAAATATTTAGGCTGGAATTTTTGCTTGTTTGTTTTCATTTTGTTTTTTGAGAAAGGTTCCTCTGTGTAGCCTTGGCTGTCCTGGACTGGCTTTGTAGACCAGGCTGGCCTCAAATTCACAGAGATCTGCCCGCTGCTGCCTCCCAGAGTATTGGGAGAACAGGTATGTGCCACTGTGCCCTGCTTAGGCAGTGTGGAATCGTAACACAAAAGTTGAAATTAACATCCTTTGGATGTTGAGCAAATTTGAAATAATGACTAAAATTCACATCTTCAAGATAGCTCAGATGAGTTTTAGTCTTTCCCAGGCTCACAGAGCCTTCAATGCTAAAACAGAGCTGCTGCTCTCTGGTGGTTTCACAGGCCGTAGCTGTTTCTGAGATCAGAACGTGCTTCCTGTGTGACCCCTCTCTCTCTCCTCCCAGGTGCTCACTACAGAAGTCCTCATGGCTCACAGTTGCCTCACCCGGGTGTGTCCTCAGAGCGACACCGCTGGCTGGCACTCCCCTTTGCTTTCTTTTATAGTGCACAATGGATCATCTTAGAAGGACTCCTGCCCCTACCTTCTGTTCCGAAGAAGGAAAAGGACCCTCATGCTGATTACTTTTGTCCCACTGTGTAGAATGATCTCTAACACATAAGACACTCAATAAACCCCCACTGAGTGAAGGACAATGGCTTCTATTTCTCTGTGGCAAGACCTGTCACCCACAGAGATGTATCAAAGCCCTTTCTAATAACTGCCAGCCTTCTCATGAAACCACGAATCCTGAGCCAATGAGAATGCAACTCTGCATATAGCAGGTCCAAGAGAGCAGACCTAACTAACACATGAGAGCCCTGAACTCTCTCCAGACAGAACCCTCCAGCTTCCACTCAGCAAAACCTCAAACCTAAGGCCACACACTGGAATCAACCATCAGCAGAGGGTTTCTGAGGTGACTGGTAAGTGAAACAACATTCAGCCTAATGCACCAGCCTAAGCTCTTAGGAGCTGAGGCCTGCTAGACACCTGAACAGGCCAAGGACTCCCCAGGGCCAGACAGTCGGCTGCGGGTCACTTTTCCACTCCCATTGCAACCTTGCACCAAGCTAGGCTCTGTGTAACCATCAGAGCACAGTCTGAGTTAGGAGCTATTGCCAAGGGCAGCCCAAGGGAGCCACCTCCCTTCCAAACATCAAGGCCACACAAAACAGCAAAGTTGTACAAATGCTGCCAGGAGGAATTCTGAGGCTTTTAAAAGGAACAACGTTAGGAGCCTCAGTGAGGTTTCTCTATGGAGAGGTTGAAGTGATGTCTCCTTCAGTATGAAATGACAGGCCGGGGTGACGGGCAGCTCTATGCCCTGTGGACACAGAGATCAATTCCTGGCTCCTAAGGGCTAAGGCAGCACCACCATGTGGCCTACCAGGTAAATCATGAGAGGGGCAGCCAAGTGTCCCAGCATGTCAGTTCCAATACAGCACTTGCAGTTTCTGCTGACAGAAACAGCAAACCCATTAATTAAACATCTACCAACCACCGGCTCCGTCCCTGTGCTTTGGTGGTTTCATCAATCTTACTCAATGCAGAGAAAGCCCCTGAACATGACCTGAAGGAAACCAACTGTCTTATTATTCAGCATTTGCACAGGCCTCTGCTAAATAGTAAACCCCAGCGAGGCAGATACTAGAATAGAAACCAGAAGCCAGCTGTCCATTGACCATTCTCTAACCACTGGAATAAAAGATTTCACAGAGAAATTGACCAGAGAAAGGAGAATGTCTGTTTCCCATTTCCTAGAAGGGGCAGCGCATCCCCACTTAATAGATCATTTTATGCCAGTGTCATTTTATGCCAGTGTTGCTGACATAGGCCTGTATTTGTCTGAAGTTAGAGAAGAGGGTCTTAGCCGGGTACAGTGGTGTATGCTTTTTTATCCCAGCACTCAGGAGGCAGAGGCAGGTATTTCTCTGTGAGTTTAAGGCCAGCTTGGTCTACACAGCAAGTTCAGGACAGCCAGAGCTACACAGCAAAACCTCATCTCAAGATGGTGTGGGGAGCAGGTATCTTTGCTCCTACTATTCCCTTGTAGTACCATGGACATTTTTCTTGCTGGTTCCAAGCTCCAGTTTTTATTCAATCCATTGGCCAACAGGCTCCTAGGCAACAGACTTTTTTTTTTTTTTTTTAAAGAAGTAAGATGGACTTTGCTTCTCTGTTTTATTCTACCAAGAAAATTTTCATACAATAAGCCCTTACCTACCTTTGGATGGAAACCCAGCTATTTTAGGTGCTCTGAGGCCCCAGTTCAAAACTTTTGTGGGAAGGTTGGAAGGCAAATGAGAGTCTATAGGTCTCAGCTAGGAAGATGAAACAGGGCAGTGGAAGAGCCAGCGGCTACAGAGCAGGGCTGAAGTCTTCGTTTAGTCAGAAAACACACAAAATTGCATGTGTTGGCCAGTACAAGTCCAGAAGCAGCCTTAGAGATGGCCAAAGCCATGTGCAGATGTGTTTATGTGCGCACGTACACACCTGCACATGGGCACTGTGGCCAGAAGGGGCTCTTGCACACACCTGACAATACAGAGAAAGGGTTCGGGCCAGTATTTCTGTATCTGCCCCAGGTGTGCCAGCACTGTCCCAGTTTCAGAGCGTTCCTTCCAGCACTAACCAACACTGACTCTCCTTCCTCAGGTTCTCAACCCACCTGAGTCTGTATGTTGGATGGATGCTAAACATATGGGCAATGCACTAAGTTCCTTCTAGTTGGGCCCTGGATGAGACAGGGGAGGAGACAGAGGTACTCTCAACCCATAGACAGTCTTCCAATGGGACTTTTCCTACTCGGAAGAGCCATTTTGGGAGTTCAGGGGAGCGTCTTTGTAGCTGAATGTCAGGAGCAGTGGAAGCAACGCCAGGGAGTCACATTTAATGGACCAAGAATAAGCCTTACAAACCAGAGTGAGAAAGTTGGGCTACAGCCATCAGAGGAGACTGCCCCCCCTCCCCTGAAAAAAAAAAATTCCTGGTGGGCGTGATGGATGCAGGTTGCTGAAGCCCTGAAACACTTAGCACCTGCCACCTCTCTCACTAGATCCTAAGGACTCTGTAGAGTTGGCCTGGGAACTGACTCTAGGCTTTAAGAAAGATGAGCAAGGACAGACACAATTTACTCTCCCAAGGAATGTCACAATGTTTAGCTAATGGCAGCAACTCAATCAAAACTTGCTCAGGGACCAGACATTTGCCGCACAGCCATTTACGAAGTGAAGAGGGTGGCTGGTCTGAGGACACAAGCTCTGGAAATCAGGAAAACTTCCCATTATGAAGAACCGGCTCCGACAATGCTCCATCCACCAGCCCTTCAGCAGCCCTGCTCCTTCAGTCCATGCATACCTTTCTCAGCTCGCCATTCTCCTTGTGCGCATCCTCTAGGACCCTGCGCTCTGACTGAGCCTTCTGTAGCTCACAGCGCAGGCTCTGTACCTCCTCCTGCAGCTGCATGCTGGTATCAGCCTCCTGGTTCTGCTGGTAATGTGCCAGCTCCTTCTTTAGCTTCTCCACCTCCATGGCATGTGTGGAGGTGACTGCAGACAACTGCTCTGACAGAGTCTTGAACTCTTTGTTCTGTAGAGAGCATCAGCGGATGGGGAGGAGGGAATAAAGAAAAAGAGAGTGTTATCAAGCCAGGAAAAATCACGAAAGCCACCAGAAAATGACTCCCAGGGCAGAAGTAAACCTCACAGTCATCACATGCCCATACAGGCACTCTGTACCATCTCCCTAACACCTTAAAGTTCTGTTGTGAACCTGCAAGTAGAGGGAGACACAAACAGCAGCACTGGCATTGAAACAGTCCAAGGAAAGCATGTGAATACCCACACAGGAGGTTGGCTGGCTGCAGGAATAATGGAGCCAGCCTCTTAGACCTGCAGTTTGGGCTCTTAGAATTCTCCACCCTTTCACATTAAGCCCTCCTAGCTTTGGACTTACTGGCACAAAGAGCTGTAACCTAATCCCTACTGTTGAGACAAAGGACCCCTTCAGCATCCCCTCTTTCAAGGAGGCCCTCCACGGAGCCCCAGGGTCTCTCTTGCCACCTGTCAACATGGCTTACATAACATAGTTCTCACTGGAGAGAATAACATCTGACCACACCCGGCTCTAGCTGTGTACCCAGTCACCAGTCATGTGGCATCAGACCCTGAGAGCCTGCTTCCAAGATCAGTGTAAATGGTGGGCAGAAGGTGGGAGAACTGAGGGGTGTGTGGCAGAGCGCTCAGTAGGGAGAAGTGGAGCAGAAGGAGAGCTCTCTGAATCAGCAGGCGAGCAAGCCCTCATTGATCGCTCTTCATTGTGTGTTCCACAGGAACTCCAGGCAGCACAGCCATCAGCTAAAATGCCAATAAACCAGGGCATCAGGAATCAAAGGCTATTCACAGAGAAACTAAACCTCACAGGAACTCTCAAAGAAAAAGCTGTTGGCACCTACATAGCAGACCACAGCTCGCAGCACTATGTTTGAGCATACAAGCAGGACATTCCTTGTGTGCAAGATTCCCCACTCTCTGCAAGCTCCAGGTACAGCCTGCTTCCCCCTACATCTGGTCTTGCTGTCAGCCTCACCTGCAGAATCTAGAAGAAATCCAATGAAGCGGAATCTACTTAGAAAGACCGACACCTGCGTGAACTGGTCACCAGGGTCTGGGTGTACACTGGAGGCAGACGGCCCCTCCACAGGCAGAAGGCAGGTTTGGGCAGCTGCTCTCTGTTCTAATCTCTGCTGTGGGATGGGAGTGAACTCTGATCAGCTGTCAGCTCTCACTGGGATGGCCTGGGCCATGTTGACAAGGGTAGGGAGGTGGCTTAGGAGGTCCCTAGATGGAGCTTATTGGAATACAATGTGGCAGAGGCAGGGGATACAGCGACATCTCAGCCTGCTATGGTCAGATATGACACTTCGGAATGCTGATGTTTCTGGAAGGCCCAGCTTTCCGGATCCTGATACTACTGGAGAGCAGACTCACAAATTGGGGGAGAAGGTGCCTGAGGCTGACAGACCCATGCCTGAGCTCACCTCTTCCTTGGCTGTTTGTATGTTTGGTCCAGTCACCCACTTTTCTGTGGTTCACTTCTTCCCGTATAAACTAGGGAGGAGAGAGGTTCCTATGCTAGAAGGTCATTACTGAGATGCAGGGAACACAGTGCTTGTCTGGTATGTGCTACACAGTTAGTGTTCAGTGACCGTCGGTGATTCACTGGCCTGGGCTCTCCATGGAGTCCCTTAGGCTAGTTCACAGAAGCCTCTGCTTTGGCCGGTCCCAACGCCCACCCATCACCATCACTCTTGCCATTCAAACAACCCCCGCATCTGGCGTCCTGTGGCTGTATGTTTTGTATTTTAGACACAGGGCCCACACAACCAGACTTACTGCGGTTCCCAGTCTTACTCGAGCTGGTGTGGGAGGAGGGAAAGATCATTGTAAGACTCTTCACGGTGAAGTGAACACAGCCTATGGCACACAGGTACTCACTCTGGGCCAGCGCTGTACCTCACTCATGCCTATTGAACATCACCCTTCCGGGAGGGCAACTGACAGCCCTACCCCGCACAGTTTCCAGCAGTGAAAGCTGGAGCATGGAAACGTTCCAAAGCTGAAACTTTTTGCAGGTCGCTTTTCTAACATATACAGAGACCGTCAAGAGTCATAAAATATTGACTAATATAACAGTTACTGAGTGGCTAATTAGCTATCCTGAATTAAACTGATTTAAATATCACTGACTGAACTATTGATTTGATATATATATATTAGATAAAAAAATACATATTAGCTAAAAGTATTTAAACATTATATTCACAAGGGCCTAAGGACCTTGAGTTGTACTACAAGTAACTGAAAATCCAGCCATGTTTCTTTACCACACTGGCCAAGTTCATGGACTTATCATTTTAGTTGAACTATGTCATACTAGCAGCTACTGCCAGGGACGCTACAGGACAGTTTCTGGGATGGTTCCTGTTTCTGCTGCTGTAGGTTACTATGAAGGACACCATGGAGGAGGTAGTTTATGACATCAGAGACCATTACCCAGAAGGGAAGTGCATTGGCACCAGGGACAGCTCCTGCTCAGAGACTCTCTGGTGACCCGGTCTTCTGCTGATTACACACAAGCCTGGTGTCAAATGGAGCCCATTCTCTGCAGCCGTGGGTCCTCAGCCTCAAGACATGAACTTGGGTGCTCATCTCCCCTGGTTTTGCCTTTCAGTTTTTTTTTCCCCATGGCAGTGGGAATACTCTTTCCAGACTCCTGCCTCCCGTGACTGAGACACAGCCTCCTTCGCCACGCTGCTCTGACAAGTGACCTGGGGACACTTTGTCTCTGGTATCCCTAGCAATGTACATTTTTCCCTTCAGGGTTAAAGACGGTGAAGAGTGTCTAGATTAGCTCCGGGAATCCCAGAGGAAAAGACACCCAGCTTCCTTCCTGAGAGCTGGTCTGCTTCCCAAGAGATCTCCAGTGCCCGTGGGGACCTGTGCTCGTGCTTCTCCCACCACAGCGGCCACACACTGCTCACCAGTCCCAAGGACACGACACTTTTATGAGCATGACCTCAGACCTATGTTGGAGTATCTACTTGGACTGAAAAGAAGTCCTCACACAGAGCCTCCTACTGGGAATGGTCTAGAAACCCAGCCAGAGGTGGCAAAACCTGCCTGAAAACAGCCTGCTGTGTTTCAGTCCCAGCCAGGCTACTTACTGTCTGTGTGCCTGTAGTAGGTCCCTTATCCCCTCTGTGCTCATTTTCAAGATGGGGATGATGGTAATACTCCTCCCATAGGCGTTGGTGAAGGTCAGTGAGTTAATGCATAGGAGTAGTGCCTGGTGTAACAGCCACACGGGAGGCAGTGTGAGAGAGATCTTGTTTGTCCCCTGATTGCCCGCTGCATACAGGGAGCCTTTGCCAGGGTGGCAGCATCTGCCACTGCTCACAGATGTTTGCCAAGTAGAAAGGCTTAAGGCAAAAGCTTCATTTAAAAATAGACCTTTCAAATCTGCTTCTCTCTGATATTCAAGCACGTGGGGTGTGAAACACTCTATTATTTTTATCCTCTCGAGTCGACTTCCCACAGCAACAAGGCCAGTGCTGAGCACGGTCTGAAGCCAGGGCCAGGGTGGCCTGTGGCCCAGAGGTGCTCCTCCCTAGAAGGGACAGTTGTTTCAGTCCCTTTGTCCTTCTGGCCAAGGAGCCTGACTGTACAATGGTCACTGGCACTGACAGCCCTGACAGAGACAGACAGACACTGTGGTGCTTTGTGTTTTAGCGGACCTCTTCCCTGGTCGCTGCCTCCCTGACTGAGGCACAGGCTGACCAGGGAAGGGACTGTGAATCTCCAACTCCCACTGGGAGGGCTGTCTTCTCATACTGTGCCTGTACTGGCTGGTTTTGTGTATCAACTCGACAAAAGAGTCATCAGAGAGGAAGGAACCTCAGTTAAGAAATGCCTCCATGAGATCCAGCTGTAAGGCATTTTCTCAATTAGTGATCAACAGGGGAGGGCTCAGCCCATGGTGGGTGGTGCCATCCCTCGGCTGGTGGTCTTGGGTTCTATAAGCAGGTTGAGCAAGCCATGGAGTACAAGCCAGTAAGCAGCACCCCTCCATGGCCTCTGCATCAGCTCCTGCCTCCAGGTTCTGGCCTTGTTTGAGTTCCTGTCCTGACTTCTTTGATGATGAACAGTGATGTGGAAGAGTAAACCAAATAAACCCTTTCCTCCCCAACTTGCTTTTTGGTCATGGTGTTTCATCATAGCAGTAGAAACCCTGAATAAGACAGCATCCAAGCCAGCACTCTGGGTGACTCCCAGAAAACGCATATCCAGGCACTGGCTCTTCCCAGAAGTGTGATCTCTGCCCAGGGCAGGAAAGCAAAGTGTCCTGCTGTCAGCTGTCTCCATTGGGGCTCACATGTAGGACAGCCAGCTTATCCAAAAAAAGAAAAAAAAGGTTCATTCCACTGGGAATGACTCAGGTGAAAGAGTGCTTGCCCTGAATCATGTACATCATGAACCAGGGTTGATCCCTCACAGGGCATAAAGCTGAGCCTGGTACTCCCCCAGGCTGGCCAGGACTACAGAAAAGTCTATCTTTAAAAAATAATAATAGCTGGGTGTGGCTACACATCTCTAATCCCAGCACTTGGGGAGGCAGAGGCAGGAGGATCTCTGTAACTTCAAGGCCATCCTGGTCTACAAAGTGAGTCCAGGACACACAAGGCTACATAGAGAAACCCTGTGTCAAAAAAACCCAAAACCAACCAACCACCCACCCACCCACTACCACTACCACCACCACCAAAAACAAATAATAATAATAATGATAATAATTGGCTCATCCATTTTCCTGCCCTGAGGTCATCCTAGGATAGAACGGTGGCCTCCACTGGCATGGATGGTGGCCCCACTGCCAAGTTTTTCTTTCCCTCACACCCACACCATGTGCGCTGTACATCCTTACTCTCCTTGCTATTTTGGAAGCCTGGTCCTATGCCTGTTTGACACTACGAGAGCCCTGTTGAGGTGAGCCTCTTGTCCTCTCTGGGAGCCCAACTCGCTAGTAACAGTACACAACAGGACCAGCTCATTGGCGGCATCTGAAACTAAGAAGCTAGCACCTTCTCCATGCTGGCTGTGGGATGAGACCTGAGGTGCAGGTCTTTAACACGCTCTACCTCTGTGGCTTTGCCAAGATAGCAGATGTTCTCAAAGCACCATACTTCAAAATGACTCACAAAGTCATGTGAGAATCATCTACTGTATGGATCATAAGTGAGTGAATGTAAAGCACCTGCCACAGGCTTTAGAGTGAACAATAGTCCCTGTGGCATAAATGGAGCTACAGACCAGTCTGCTCTATGTGAGAAGATCTTAAACAAAATGACTTGTCTATTCTCCTGCTCTGAGGTTATGAGACGTGTCAAAATCTCCCTGGTACTAAGATTGATTTCTGTAATACAGCAGCCAGCCTGGGCCACAGTCTCTCCTATCTGGAACCTAACAGAATATCTGACATAATCCACCACCAAACAAAGCTCTTCTCAGGCATGGAAGAATAGATACTCAGACCACCTGACTGGTGTGAACCTATTTCCAATTTGTACACTATCCCAAAGAAGGAGCCAGTATCCCATGCTTGCCTGAGCTCCCTTTCACAGAGCTCCACCCACAGAGGGCTTCAACATTACCACATGGCTTATCTAATTGGTTGATGTGTGAAGATGGCCAGGGCCGAGAGAGGTAAAAGCTTAAAGAATGTAATACCAATGCCATACCAGACAGGACGCTCACATCTACTTCATGCGGACTGTCACAAACAAACAGGGGAGCACGATGTGGGCACAGGAAGCTTTAGTGAACACGGGCAGTTGCTTAGCTGCACTGTGTGGCCTCTGCAGGGGCACGGTTGCAGGACTCTGGAGCAATCTATCAATTTCCTATTGCTGCCAGAAAAAGCACCCTGAAGTTGGTGGCCCAGAACAACATAAGCTGCCATTTTGCAGCTCTAGAGGGAAGTTCTGAAAGCGGCCAGCAGGACTGCGGTCCTCTGGACACTCTAGCGGAGAACCACTGTTGGCTGTAGTTCCAGAAGGTGGTTTGAATGCTGTAGCTGGTGGGTCTGCACCTGCCATTGATTCTGTCTGCAGCTTTCCTTGGATGAGTGCCCTATGATCTCATGGGCTCCACCTGGGAAGCCCAAGGTCATCTTCCTGTCTAGATACCCTTACTTTAGGCACTTTTGCAAAGCCTCTTTCGGTGTGTGAGGGAACAAGTTTACAGATCTTGGACATTAAGACACTGTTCTGTGCACTACAGTCAGGAACTACTCTTAACGCCTGGGCAATACTCCTTTAGGTCTCTGGTACCCGCAGTTCACTGAGAAAGCTCGGGGTCCCTCTCAAACATGCCCCGGTAGTCCACAAGCCTCAACACCGGAGTAGGAATTTCCTACCACTGACCTGGTCATCAATCTTCCGCTGTAGCTGCACGACTTTGTTCTCCATGCCCACGTTGAGGCGTTTCAAGTGCTCGGCAGAGCGGGCCTCGATCTTGAGGGCCTTCAGCTCCTGTTTGGCCTTGAGCCTCCGGAAGGCACACTGGATGACAATGGCTGCATCCCGCTGCCGCTGGAAATGTCTTCGTGCCATCCAGCCCCGGGCATACTTCTGGATGATGGCGGCTTTGTGCTCCCTGAGGACCTGGTGAGGACAAGCACACATAGCCCATGGGTTTGCTCTGCAGGGCTGGGACAGGTACAGCTTCTGCAACCACTGTGAGGAAAGCTGGGCTGGCCTTGAGCTTAGGGGACAGGGCACATGCAGCCCCTGACATCTGACGATTTGATAGAAAGTTTTAGCGAGGTTCTGTAGACCAGGTGTCCACAGGGAAGCAGCTGTCAAACTCTTGTTTCTACCCTTATTTTACTAGATAGCTGTGGTGGTTTGAATAGGAATGGCCCCTACAGACTCATGTGTGTGAATGCTTGGCCCTTAAGGAGTGGTGCTATTTAGAGGCGTGGCCTGGTTGGAGGAAGTGTGTCTGTGGGCGTGGGCTTTGAGGTCTCCTATGCTCAAACTCTGGCCACTGTGGCACACGGTGTTCTTCTGCTGCCTGTGGATCAAGATGTAGAACTCTCAGCCCCTCCAGCACGTCTGCCTGCACACTGCCCTGCTTCCTGCTGCGATGATGATGGACTAAACCTCTGAAACTAAGCCAGCCCCAATAACATGCTTTCCTTCTCAAGAGTTACCTTGGTCACGGTGTCTCTTCACAGCAATAAACTAACAAGACGCAAGGAAGCACAGTTTAAGAAGCTTAAAATTTGGAGACACCTAATTTATTCCATTAGAAAGAGGCAGTGGCCCCGGGACAGGGGAGCGGGGGATGCAGGGAGACGCTCACCTGGCCGCACGGCAGCTACCCACCTGGCGGTAGTTTCTACGCACAAACATGGCCCGCGTGAAGGACTGGATGATGACTGCAGCACTGCAGACCCTGCGGTAGGCCAGGCGGGCTCTCTGCATGCGGTACTGCTTCTGGAACACTATGGCTGCACGGGTTCTCCGCAGGTGCTCCGCCAGCCTGGGAGCAGAGACGGAAGAGCACAGGTGACATCAGGGAGAGGGAGCTGGCCAGCTGAGGTATTCCCTCTGTGGAACCCCTCCGGACCCCCTGCCCTGGCTTGACTCCTGTCACCTTTCCCAAATGTAGCAATGCCTTGAGAACTTGACATTAAACAGCAGAGTCACTTTCCCCCTTGTGGTCTGACAGGTCTTTCCACCAGTGCCAGCCCCACTCTGTGACCCTCACACCAGACTGCTCCTTGCATCAGGTACCCCTTGATTGCACCCTCAGCATTTCCCATTCAAATATATATATGAACATATACTAGTATAGATGAATATTATGTGCATTGGTGTTTTTAACTGCATTTATGTCTGTGTGAGGGTGTCAGAAGCCCTGGAACTGGAGTTACAGACAGGTGTGAGCTGCCATGTGGGTGCTGGGAATTGAACCTGGGTCCTCTGAAAGAGCAGCCAGTGCTCTTAACTGCTGAGTCATCTCTCCAGCCCAGTATGTCCCGTTCTTAAGGGATCACACTGCTGTCTGTCCCTCTGTGTCTCCACAAGCTCAGACAAACCTCATTCACGCTGCATTCCCGCACCTCGTTCAGGACCGGGCAGTGCTGGGATAGAGCAAGTGTTTGCTGAGTGGAAGAAACCTCCTCGGGCCGGCAACTACCCCCCAGCATTCTCGTTTCCCCTGAGCTTCCCACTCTCTCATTCTGTACTCCACCCACCTCAGTAAGAGAGAGCCAGATGGGTCCTTCCTACCCTTCTTGAGAACTCGTCAAGTTCATTGCAAAGGCTCACAGAGAGGATCAGAACGCCTGCTGCTAGGTAGGACCTTAGAAAGCACTTAGCACAGCCCCGGGAAAGGAAGGGCCCTCCAGTGCCAGCCAGAATCTACGTGCTGAGTTCAGTGTTCCCTAGTCTATCTCTCTGTCCTCTCTTGTCCAACCTTGTCCATGGACCAGATGCTCCCTGTTGGGAGAATGCAGCATGCTGTTGCATTGTCACCACCAGGAAGCTTGAGGTGGTGGCCTCTGCAGTGACGGACAGTGATGATGATGGAGTAGGCAGGCAGGGATTGTGAAGAGCCATTCAGTTGACGCCCGCTCCCTTTCATCCCCACAGTTTCTGCACCGAAGCTTGTCTTCCGGAACCCATGTGACGTGGCACAAGCATCCCTGGCTATGTGTGAGTGAGCAGCCTACGGGGAGCACGTGAGCAGGACCAAACAAAAGCAGCCTCTACCAAACTTAGGGTTGGGGTCTGTGTTCCTCTTTCTCTAGTAGAGACAGTTGAGCTGAGAAAGTGGCTCTGAAATACAAGATTTCGTGGCAATTCCCAACCTTTCTCCAAGGAGAAAGCACTCTCTCCAAGGAGAGAGCACTGCGTTGAGGGGGGCTGGGTCTTAGTGTGAAAACCCACGGAAAGGTCTTGGAGGAGGGAGCATCTCACACCTGCCTCGGCAGAGATGGCCTCTGCAACCCTATCACCCATCAGCCAAGGGCCATCAGGTGGGAAGGAAGAGAGAGCCTGACCGGTGCCATGGCTCTCTGCAAGGCAGCTGCTGTAGCTGGCTGAGGCACGCCCTCTCCATGCTTTCTCAGGGCAGACGTAATTCATACATAGAAGGGCTTCCCCAGACCTTTCCAGTTCCAACTGGAATTCAGGGGATTTTGAAATTCTAGTATAAACAATGAGGTTACATGCAAGTTAACTATATTCATCTCCTTCCTCCTAAAAGACATTATTTCACTCTGGGGTTCAGACAATGGAGAAACGGTGATTTGTACCCTTCGTCAGATGGTACTGGGTTAGTGTTGGTGGACTGGGGATAGGTTGGGGTATAAAGAGACACATGAACTGGATCTGCTCCCTGAAGCAAGAAGGGAATTGAGGGATGCACACGGCCACTAGGAGCAAGTTACAAAGCAGATGGGCCCAAGAGGAAGCACTGTCATTCCAGACAAAGAGGCCCTCCCCTTCCCGCTGACCCCGGACGTACCCTGCCACGGCTCACCTGCGGGCTAGGTATCCTCTGTGGAACCTCTGCAGGGTTAAGGTCGCCGTCTTCAGCCTACGGTACTTCACTTTCTGCAGCCAGCCCCTGACTGTCTTCTGGATCATGATAGTAGCTTCCCGGAACTTGTCTGCCCGAAGCTTCTCCAGGTAGGCCACCTGGCCTGCCCGGAAGAAGATCTTGGTGCGGCCAAACTGGAACTTGTCTGGATCCTTTACAAAATTGAAATGGAGACTGGGTAGTTAGGGAACTATGCACAGAACACTAGTCTTTCCTTGCCAGATTGCATGCGTACCCTCTACCCCCTGCCCCAGTAGATACACCTAGATTCTCAGTATTCATTAAACAGACTTGAGTCTTCATGATGGGACAGACATGGGCCCAGGATATGGCCATTAAAAAGATACCTGCCCTCAAAAATCCAATACCATGAGGAAGGCAGATAGAAAGGTAAACAGTAGACCATTTTGCAGAGTGGGGAGGATTAGCGAGAAAAACAAACAGGCAATATTCAAAAATGATGTTCTCAACATTCCTAACGCTGTGACTCCTTAATACAGTTCCTCATGTTGTGGTGATCCCTAACCAGAACATTATTGTCATTGCTACTTTATAACTTCTATTTTGCTACTATTATAAATTGTAATTTAAACATCTGCAGGATCTCTGATATGTGAGCCGGAAGGGGTCAAGAGTCATAGGTTGAGAACCACTGATTTAGACAGTTATGTCTATGGAGGTGGGGAAAGATCTGTGTGCACCAAAGGGGGCAGCCATGAAGGTGGGAACAGAAGAGGATTCTAGAAGAACAGAGCAGATGCCACTGTCCTATGGGGACAAGAGGCAGGACAGGGCTACATACAGGGAACTGAAAGATGGCTATGAGAAGGAACCAGCCACCAAAGGCTTTGTGGGCTATGGTACAAAATGGGGATGGCATCCATGGGCCCAGAGCCTTTGTGGAGGCAATTACCTGGTCTAATAAACATTTGACCATTATTTAAATGACCACAGACGTGTGCTCATAATTACAGCTTGCAAATAACACTCAAATAAAACTCCACTATGAGCTTTTTTTCCCAAGCATGTAATCACTGTCTTGATTATATCTATGAGATTAAAATTAATTGCCCTTCCTTGAGTTCACCCCAATGAACAAGGAGAGATGAGCCAGAAGGGTATTTGTGGACAAGCCAGGAAGAGTAAACCACTGATGGCTGAGATTTCTGAGACTCCTTTGCAAAGAAGTTATCTGAGTGTGTGTGCTGGCCTGAAAACCATCAGCAGGAAGGAGCCAAATTCTGTCATACACCATGGTGGTTGCTTTGTCAACTTGACACAAGCTAGAGTTATCTGGAAAGAGGAACCTCAGCTGAGAAAATGCCTCCCGCAGGCAAGTCTGTGGGGACATTTTAAACCCTTCCTTCTGGACACCCTGACCAGAGCAGAGAAGGAACTCAGTACGTACTTAGGACAAGCCACATGAGGTTAAGGATGGGAAGGCATCCTGAAAGCCCTCAAGGGGTGAATCTACCAGAAGACCCATCTCCCTTCTTACTAGCTACAGTGGTTTATCGATCCCTCAGAAATGACCTAAGGAAGCATCTACCAACAAGCAGCCCATCCTCACAGATGGGCTGGTAAGCCCTGCTGCTCAGCCCACAGCCATCTCATCCCCATGTCTCCTCTGACCATTCTATCCTCAGTACACAGAGCACTCTGGAGAGGGAGGAACCAGGCATGTTGTCTTCAAGGCTAACCTGTGGCTCAGCCAAAGTCCTACACAGTGGGAATGCTGTATCTGGAAGACACGGGCTAAGGCATAGGGGAAAACCAGAAAGAAATGCAACACCCTCAGGGAAGTCTCAAAGCACAAGTGAGCAGCCTATCTCCAGGACAGACAACTGCACAGCGGCCCTAACCAATCATTCCAGATAAGGAGGCACCAAGCGTTAGACGCCTGTGAAACCCTAAGCAGTTCATAGCCGCTTCCTATACTTCATCTTCCTCATCTGTGGATGGAAGGTTCTGCTAATAACCTTGGTAAGGGTGAACTATGACCTTGGACAAAGTGAAGGTCATTCATGTAGTCATGGAAGCTGCTCACAGGCTTGGGGCATACACACCATGAGGCTGGCCCTGACACCAACAAGGAAGGAACTGTTAGTGCTATATGGTAACTGAACTCAGCTGACCTTGAACACATTTTCCTAACCCATGAAAAATGCGATGTCAAAACATGTACAACAATGGATGGACCACACCAGAATCACAGGTAATCAGAGTTCCATCAACCAAGCACAGCCTACACTGCTACCCTCTAAGAACTGTCCTAGCCAGTTAGTATGCAAAGACATGTTTAATTTTTATCTCCTCTTGAAAGATATTTTGATACTTTATCATCTTATGGATATTACTCTGTTGTACCTCTGGAACTCTCTGGAACAACTGAAATATTTAAGGGTTTCCCCCTGGTTCTAGTTTTACAATTTCCCAGCCTCAAAATGTGATTTTTGGGGTTATTTCATTTAAAACAATTTTTCAAAGGCCCGAGAATCTGTTGCTTTATAACAAGCTGAGGCTGGCTACAGATCAGAACTCCACTGGGCACTTCAGCTCTGAGAGGCCAGAGATGCAGGGGTAACAGAAGCAGCAGCTAGCAGCCACTCCCACACACTCTAGTCATCTGTGCTCCTAGTGTGCCAAGATGTGGGAAGGCAGGGGGAACTCTCAGTAGGGGACAGCAGTCTTTAATCCCAGTCACTGCTGCAGGAAATGGTTTAATAGTTTAGGTAGTTTCACAAGATGAAGACAAAGCTGTAAGTAACCCCCACCCCTCCCCTCCATTGTTGGGGCTTTTGGTCCATGCCCTCCTATGACTGGATCACCTTGATGAGGCTCTCCAGGACGGACTTGCAGATACTCTTCTTGTCAGTGTTGGCAAGCTCTCTCTTCTTCATCAGCACCCGATACCGGTTGAAGAAGTCATGGTAGGTCCATCTGGAGGAAAAGCCAAGGTGGATCAGAAGGTGACCCTGGCTGCTGTCTCATGGAGTCAGGGCTATTGTACAAAGTTACTGTAGGGGCTTCAGAGCAGTCCCCAGGCACCTTTGTCCTTTCCACACCTTATTAGGAACTCCAGCAGAAAGGGGTTCCTGAAGTTGGGATGGATAAAATGTCTGTTTGGAGTTACCTCCCACAAAGTCAGGGCCCCATTTGTTCACACCCAGGGACACAGAGTCAGGGTCCTCATAGAGCTCTCTCTTCGGCTGCTACCACTGAAGAAGTTGGGCACCTTACCTAGACACAGCTTTGTCCATGCATTTTAGTCTTTGTCTTTGGGAACTCATAATGATCTTTGTAAACACATTTCTCAGTGCGGGAAAGTACTGTGAGAATGAAAGTGTCCCCATCGTGATCCCTTAGATCACTGCTCTTAATCTGAGAGAGAGAACAGGTCATCTTCGACACTGTCCACTCCAGAGTCCTTTTCAGCTGACACCAAGGAAAAGGGTATGTAAAATAGGTACAAACAAAACACTTACTGACAACAAATCAATGTGCCCACAGGTACAACAGTGGCAGGAATGTCAATGGGGCTGAGCAACCACTTTCTGATTGGATTTAAGGTCTGCTTTACCAAAGGAAGCGCATGGCCAAGCACCTAAACTTGGGGAGGCTCAGAGGCTCCGGTGGTGACCCTGCTGCTGTTACTCTGTTAAATGGACACAGCATCAAGCTGTCCCAAAACTCCCGACATCCAGTTACAGGGTTGCTACCAATACCTTAAGAAGCTATGGTGTTAGTTTATTATTTTCCTCTTAACTAGGGTGATTTAGGCTCCCCATGAAGATGTCCTCCATCTCCACATTACTGAAGAGACCTCTAACACACTGCCCATACAGGGCAGAATTCTTGGCTGTGTTCTGGTAGCCTTCAGAGGGCCTTCACCTTACCCCGGGCTGCTGAGACTTCATACAAACAAATGCAGTCTCCTATACAGGACTCCTCTTCCCCAGGAAAGCTGTCTTGGTTCACACCCATTGCTACTTCACCTCCTTACTTGGAAATGCTCATGACCTCCTCAGGCAGTGGCCGAGTCAACATGAGCCCCCATCCAAGATGGCTTGGCGTTACAGCCTCAGCTGGTCAGGTCAGTACAGCAAACCCCCCCCCCCCCCCATCTTTCTATGTCCTTGGCCAATGCTGAGTGAGGCTGGCTTCAGGACATCAGGGAAGGCTTGTACAGCAGTCTGGACAGGCTATTGGTGCTTTGTTCAGGTATCATTAGGTATTTCACTGAGGTGAGTCACCTGCTATCTCCTCTCACTGGTGGCCTTGCCTAGAGACTGTCTAGCTGCTTCAGACCAACCTGCTCAGGTGGTGATGGAGAATGAACAGGCTGTGTCCCTTTCCCTGGGACCCTTTTGCCTCTGCAGAGTGTCCTTTAGAAGCTTCAGAGAGAGGAATGCTGTGGGGTTTCGGGAACCCCCAAGGTGAGGAGACATGTTACACTCAAGGTCCCTTTCCCCAGAGCCCCCCTGCTTCAACAGCAGCTGAGCCTTGGAGGGAAACAGACTGATGTAAATAGAAATAACATTTCTACTTGTCTGTATTTCCCCATCTATGACAGTTGGTTAAAGACAGTTCCTTTCCTTTTTGAGAAAGGATTTCCTGTACCCTGGGCTGGCCTCTAAGCCCCATGAAGCCGAGAATGACCTTGGACTTTGGATCTTCTTTGCTTTCACCTCCCAAATGCTGGATTACAGGTATGCAGCATGCATCTGCTCGAGTCTGTCCCTTGTTCACAAGCAAAAGCTTTTGAGATGTCATATACTTATGAATTTATCCTTTTATCTTTTCATGAGTATGGTATTTTGCCCACATGTATGTCTGTGCACTACATATGTGCCTGGTACCTGCAAAGGCCAGAAGAGGGCATTGGGTTCCTCCTGGGCCTAGAGTTATAAATGGTTGTGAGATACTACGTGGCTGCTAAATATCAATCGTGGGCAGCCAGTGCTCTTAGCCACCAAGTCATCTCTTTAGCCCCAAATTTTCCCTGTTAAAGTATACAGTTAAAATAACTTCTAAGTGTATTTGCGAAGTTGTGTAACTATCCCCAGTTTTCAATTCCAGAACATTTTCACAACTCCTCCTCCCCAAAATAAACCCTCATACCCATGAGCAGTTTTGCCAACCCTGGGAATCACTAACTACTCTATCACTTCTCAGCTTTTAACTGGCACAGACTCTCTTAAGGGTGGAAGGCAGAGGGCACCTAGAGCCCCCGAGGACTCTGCCTTGGGACCAAGAAAGGGATCCCCTTGCCCTTTATATTCTACTCACAGAACCGAAATGTCCCCACCCTTCAGCCGTGGACTACCTGCCATCTTTAACAGGCACCTTACAAATGGAAACAGGTAAGGCCATTTTCCCAGTTAAATGTGAATCAGGTATGGATTCTGTGTAAGCAGCTAACTCTGCTGAGCTTTCCTAGGCACTTTCTGCCCTGGCCCTACCCTTTGAAACGTCTCCCTAGAGAAATACGGGCTTGGCTAGGAACCCAGTGGAAAAGCGCCCATGAAAGAGAGCTTCTGTGTTTCCGTATCCTCCCATCCCACTCCCCCACAGCATCTCAGAACACTGTGGTTTGATGTGTGCTTTTCCCTTAGGCTGCTGGGCGCTATCTCCTAGGTGACTCTTGAAGGGCACTTCTCACATTCCGCACCATGGCTATTTGTGTACTCACTTGTCTCTGTGAGTTTGCAGTTCTGCTGGGAAATAATTAAGACATCATTTAGCCAGGCTAAAATCCTTAAATGTTTCTAATTTGAAAATCTCTTACTGCTGACAGATCCACAACTGAAGGAAATTATGAGGGTGGGGAGATGTGACTTCTAGGACGTCAAACACAGTTTGCAATGAGCTCAGAGCACAGGAACCACAGAAGCTTGGCTCTGACCTTGGCTGTCACTGTGACTCAGGTAAAGGCCTGGCTGGATGCCTTATCTCCTCTGCCTACAAAACAGAGTCACCCATTTCACAAAATCACCTGGGCTTTCGTAGCCAATGAGTCATCATAGGAATGCTGGGAAGGCTGTCCATTACAGTCCTTCCTGCTGAAGGCACTCAGCCCTGATAACTTGCAAACACATTTTGAAATACACCTGCATAAGGAGAGGATGGTGCAATGAGGCTGGGAAAGTGGGATGCTGAGAAGGAACCCCTGGCCTGGGGAAGGGACCCACTCCCCCAGGAGACAGCCTAAGGGATGGGAGTGCGCTATGAGGTCTTGGCATCATTATTTACCATGGAGTCCTGAACCAACATGGGTTCTCCTTTCCGTGTGTGGACCTGTGTATGCCTAGAGAGAAAACTCTTGCAGTAAAGTCCCCATGCATGGAATAGGAAAAGCTGCAAAGTGAAAATAAAAAGAGCACTTGATTCTTTTGTCAAAGGAGAATTTAACAGGACGGATCTGAACATGTGCTCAATGTAACGACATCAACGCAGAGGAAGACAGCTCAGTAAGATCACAGACTGGCCTAGGATTTGCTTTGTGGACTCTTGGTCTCCCACCCTCCTGAGTCTATCCTGGATCCCAAAGCTCTGAGACCTGTCCTTGCAGGTCTGTTAGCATGTGGATGTTCTCTTCTGCTAGTCTCGAGCCTTCTTTAACCATGTTCCTTTCAGGCACTTCAATCCTCTCAGCCGTAAACCTATTAATGTCGTGTCTCTGTAACCAGTTGCTTATTATAGTTGAATAGCATTTTCCTGGCCATTCAAATGGCTGGACCCTCCCCATTAAACCTTTTCTACCAGTGTCTCTTAAAGGGGCTGCTAAGGACTGAGGGTGTTAATTCTTCGGTGGAGGAGACTCCCACACAATACAGGGTATACTGCAACTTTGGGCCGTCACCACTCCCTCATTCACTGAGACCCTGAATAACAAAAAGCTCTCAACATCTGCAAGAACTTTTGGCTGGAGATTGATAGTTTTGGTTCAGAAGGCCTTACTTAGCAGCCACCACTGTCATCTAAGCAGTGTGGACCCTTCCCCGCCAGATGACCCTGACATGTCTTCTCTCCCTTGGTACAGCACTGTGTTTCACTGGCTGCAAAGCGTCCATTCCAGAGGATGGCCTGACATGCTATTCCATCTCAGGAGCAGAAGAAAAACTCTGAGACGACAACCAGCTCCGGACAGAACTCCATGCTGTCCCAGCCACTCTGGAGGTGGGCTCCCCCACTTCCTTAGCCCTAACTTTCTCCCTGGATTTTAACGCATATGCTAAGTGCCTGGCTGAGCATTCTAGACTTCAGTATCATGCTTCCTTTTCAGAAATGGGCGCCTCCTGCACCTGCACTCTGGCCTGGCCAAATAGTCATAGCTGGGTGTGTGGAACAAGCTCAGGGCTATGCCTGCTTCCAGGCTAGGCAAACATTCATCAGAGCCTTCAGTCTGGAGAAATGCCTTCTTACAATGAGTTTCCCAGGCTTAAGACATCGAGGGAATGGCACAAAACACACAGTTGCTTGGGGTGTTGTTTGGGCTGACCGAGTTCCCAGCATGTGGAGCCTCTTACTGGATTTAACCATCACCCTGTGAGCCATTCTGTAGAGGAAGGCCTGCTGGTGAGGTCGTCAGTGAGCTGGGTGAACAGAGGAGAAAGGCTGGCCACAGATGCACAACTTTGTGTTGCTCTCCCTTTTTAGCCTATTTCCTCATGATATTGGTGTGATTATATAAGCCCAGAGATTGCCTCCTGAGGAAGACTTCTGTATGACACTCTAACTCTATGATGTCAAATCACAAGGAAGTTGCCCTGAAGATGCCATGGTCCACAGTCTCATGGGTCCCTTAGAAAATGGTGATGAATCCTTTAGGGCTTTCAGGGTAACCTATGCTTTTGACTACTACAAGGACAGACACATCCTTCACTGTTTCCTTCTGGGAGAACTTGATTCAGTCACAGTCTTTCTGGGATTTGTTTCCT